AAAGAATATACGTAAGATTCATATATGATATTGAGTATGTCTCTGTATTTACATTTATGTTACTACTGAATACTAGAGAGAATTAGGAGAGAATTCTCTTCAGGTCTTGCCAATCTTCAAGGCTTTGTTCACCAGTTTTAGTTTAGGACGTGTAGACCACACGGCCGCAGAGCTTTGAATATAGTAATTTCTATGTTCTAAGTTTATCCGTCTTTGTTATTTAATGCGGTTCATTAAAACTGTACTTGAATATCACTGTACGATTTGCTAAATACGGTGGAGTATTCGTTTTTTAAGTCTTGAATTAGATCATCGCCCTACTATTACTTCAAAAGCACGTCTTTCAATTAATTTAACTTTTGTGCTTCTTCTTTTTCCATTCTCCTTTTTTTTTAATTTTATAGAGATTTCGCCGCCTTCATTAAATTTTCCGTTTTAGCTTCTTTAATTAGCTTCCAAAGCATATGTGGGAAGCAAAACAACGCGGATTTACAGAAAAAGTCCTACATTTTTTTATAGGGATCATTATTATGCATTAGTAATAGTGGTAATTTTCATATACATATACTTAAAGTATTTTCAAAATCCTATTAATATGTTTTCAACTAAAAGTTGAAAGGTTTATTTTAAAACTTTAATACTATTAATAATTAAACGTTGAAATATTAAGCATTGAATTAATCATTGCTTAACAGTTCAATGTTTAATTGTCACTTTTGAACACTTTTTCGTAATGTGGCAAAATAATCAATAATTATACATAAACTTATGACATGTTGATCCGAAAATTAAATCAGTTTAAATAGAGATGGTCATTGATCTCTATCCGGTGAGTCAATATAACTACAGTTTTACCAAATGCAATGATAACACATTTCGCTTGTAAGGCTTGGTAGCTCGCAAAATAGGAAAATTGGAACAATATAAAACTTTAATTCGGAACGTTTTCCGAAATCGAACGCCGAATTGGGAGCGGACTGGCAACGCCGCGCTGCTGTCCAGGCTAATGCCGCCTCTCGGTAGAAAGCGCGTTTCTAATCTGGACGAGCGCCAGTCATTGACTCCGCGATCTGCGCGCGTTCCGCCGAACTCACTTTACTTACGTACCGTACGTACATACGTACATTACACTAAATATTATTTCCTCATACATTACTCATTAGGTATATACCGGAACCAATACAATTTAATAACGTAGTGCAACACGAAACCAGATTGTTATTTCTTGGATAATTTTAAATTATCAAAAACCGAGGAAGTCTTGGTGTGACAAATTAATGATTCTCATCAATTTTGACACCGCTATCGTGAAGGCAAATGAAAAAAACGTGATAGCCGAGCGGCTATGGTATTGAACAACTTGTTTAATCACGGAATATATTCAAATGACTCTGCACTTAACATCGTATATCTGTCAACGATGTCTCGAGTCAACTAATGATTAAAACGTGCAATCGTTGCATAACACTACCGAAAGTTTCTGGAAAAGATTAAAATTAGTGAACACGTTCGTATTATAAATCGTTCAAAAATTCATAAGCCACGAAGGAATGGCTCGCCCGCTTTATGCGTTTTAATGACGTTTGACAACTTACAATTAAAAATGGCGGCTTATAGGTTGTTAGGAATGCGCAACGTCACCATATATAATTTGAATAGAGAATTTTACATACTGCTAAATTATGATAATGCATTATTAGTTTGCGTGTTTCGATTAAGTTTGTAGAGAGCGACTTATTGAACGTAACTTTAAACATCGAGGCGATGTCGTCATCACGTTTTAATGAACTGGGCCCCGGCTACCTCACTCACCAGACGAAACGCAGAAGTGTAACACGTCCACTTCACGCCCGTCTTCTGTGAAGTCATGGTACTTACCCGGACGGACCTGCCCATTCGTGTTACAACGAAGACCGTTGCGTGCACCTACCGCAGATAAATGATGAAAATGATATTTAATGGGCAAACAACCTAGAAAGTATGTTTACAGTTTTACAGTTTCTGCCAGATAGGCTTAAATGTACCAGTTGCTACTAAAACATTCAGTTTCACGGGATATTCGTGACAGACCAATTTGCTAAAATTAAGTTGACTAAATATTTAGTTAACAGTGAGGGAGAAAGGTTAGGAGTGAACGAGAGACAGATAGGCAATAGGTTTAGCGATTGCCTTAAAGTTTCATAATTGAGCCCGTAAAAACTAGCGTCTCCGGAAATCGGTTTCAATGGTCATTAAACTATAAAATTCTAGAATGTCAAAATAAACCAGGGAATGTATTATAATGACCGCATTCATGATTTACTAAATTTACACCAATACTACGCATTTTAGGAAACCGCTTGGAACGTTTTAAATTTGATATTAACGCAACCTCCCTCGTAAACGTGACGCGTGTTAAAAATCAAAATTAAACTAGATAAATAAAAGTAGTACAGTAGTTCTATTAAACTTTAGCATTCGGTGAATACACTTTTTTTAAATGTAACATTTCATAGTCACCTGTTATTACCACCCACGAGAGCAGGAAGTGATAAATTTTATTGCGCCGCCCCCACATTTGTCCACCGACTATCAGAGATCACACACAACTTGCATATAATAAAAAGGAAAAAGTCTTAATTCAAATTTAGGCACTAACTTAATTTTTTTTTATGGAAGAATGTGGCAAACGCGCTGGCGGTTCACCTGACGTTAAATGGGCATCGGCCACCTCAATCATCAGACAAAACGCTCAAGTGTAATACTTCTCCTTCACGCCAGTCTTCTGTGAGGTCGTGGTACTTACCCAGCCCATTCATGCAACAGAACAGACTGTTGCGTGGTCTTAGCACAGTTCAATTGTGTAATTTAAGCATTAATATTCATCATGTTTTCTTTTGAACGAATTTGTTTTCTTATCATTTCTCTGCTTTCTAACTTGGAAAAAGTCTGGAGTATAATATTTACTTTACAAGATAAGTAGCAGCTTCTACAGTTGACTGCCGGCTCGTTCAGATAACTTGCATGGCCTTAGAAAAGACGGGAATATTTATTCTTTCACATATCTTTTAGTGAAGATGCGCCAACTGCTTAAAACTCTATGATATTGTGAGAGTCCTTTTTATGCATTTTTCGTAAAAACTTGGCCAGCATGCGGCTCTTCTGATATTAAGTGATTGCCACCGCCCATTGACATCACGCTAGACGTGTTGCAGGTACGTTGCCAACCTTAAAAGCAATCGGCACCGGCAACCTCAGTCAAAGCAAAAAGTAATCTTCTAAAAAAAGTAATCTTCTAAAAAAGCGCAAAAGTAATCTTCTACTTCATGGTCTTCTTCTACACTGCGGTACTTCCCCAGACGAGCCTTCCATTAGTGCGGTGAAGGCGGTCGCTTAGTCCTGTATGAGTCAATTCAGCAGTCTTTCCTCGAACATTCTGCGCTTATGTATTAAAAAAGCTGAAACAAGTGTATCTAATAGTATACGAGTGTGTGACAAAAAAGCCGAACGTAATACGGACAAACGAACGATTTTATCACTCATTATAAATTCTTGATCATAATTTACTAGATTCGTAACTCTATCCAAAATCGCTATAATGTATTAGATAAAGGCTACTTTGTAAAAGAAAACCGTTTTCGAACGTTGAATATTTGGCTCCGGCAATTTGGAGCAATATTTAGCAAGTATTTAGCTTTCGGCAATTTCAAGTGAACTGGCGGTTCACCTAAAGTGATGACCGCCGCGCATGGATATTAACAACACCCGTAGGGTAATAAATGCGTACCTTTCAATAAAGTGGGCCCAGGTTACCTCACCCACCAGACGTAACGCAGAATGTATAACACGTCCACTTCACGCCGGTTCTATGGGTCGTGGTACTTTCCCAGAGGGACCAGCCCACTCGGGCGGCGAACCACAAACTGCTGCGTGGCCCTACCTCTCTAAAAGGTCCTCTATAAAGTTTCCAATCCCGCCCCGAAAGATTTCGTACATTTATCTTCAAATATTTACTATTTAAAGTTTTTATCTTGAGTGCAGATACTAGCACTAAAAGTAAATAAATAATCTTAACAAATGCTCTCAAACGCGTAAAAGGTCAGGTTCTGAATTCGGTTGTATTTTCTTTAGGTATGTACCGATTTTAATAACTATTTTAGCATTCGGCTCGGCTTAACTCCCATGTGGTCCCATATTAATGTTATTGGTATTCGACCATGGGCTACGGGGATACATCAGGGGATTCCCATAATTAAATAGAAAATACAAAATAGTGAATGAGATGTTTGAAGTCGGTTGCATTTTTTATTAATAAAAAGAAATGCGTGAGTGTCGTGGAATATTGTTATTGATAAACGCATTTTTTATTTTACTCTTAGTTTTGCGTAAAAGACATTAAATGCAATTGAGAACGGTCTCAATAAATAACTTGAAATTATAGCTAAGTGCCAGAGTGTTGTTATTGGTAGCCGTGGTATTTTCGTGACGATTCGGTCGAGACAAATTCTTATACTATATTTCGACTAGTCCCCATCCGCTAAATCCGTACCGTGGAATACGGAACTTTGTTCCAATAATATACTTAAAAAAAGTACGGTTACAGCCTATACATGTCCCACTTTAGCCAATGGCGAGAGGCCTAAAGAGGGAATTGGGGTATAGTCCACCACGCGGCCCCACTGCGGATTGGCGGACTTCACATTCTTCGAAACATTTATTCTTTGCTAATATTCTCCAAAACATGCGGGTTTCCTCACGTTTTCTTTCGTAATTCCACTATATTTTTAAGTTTGTTATCTCAGAACTTTCAACTGGGTGAACCGATTTTGATGATTCTTTTTTTATTTGAAAGCTGATGCTTCCCATGTGGTCTCATATTAATTTCATTTGTATTGGATCTTGGGTTCCGGAGATATTTAGGGATCTCCTGAAAATCAATTATAAAATGAATACAGAGCGGGATCCTTGATGTCCGTTTTGTATTTTGTCAATAAAAAATTGACTTGTTGTGAATCAATTCGATGAGTTTTCAATTAGTGCGCTTGCGACGGTGCGTTCGGCCGCGGCACGTCTATGATCTCCAGGTGAGGCGACACAGTGCCGGCACTATCTCGCTATCGCCCGATAACCTATCAGCTCTTATCGGCTTCCGCACGTGCAGCCGGCGAGCGCCTTCGCGCCTCGCGTCTTACGCTCGGTACAAACTGACGACAATTAATCAGTTACAAAAACGAAAGGAACACTTATATAACGCCCATATACACCTTACACAAGTGAAGCAGTGAATTTATTGTGCTTTTCCTATGATTACAAAAACGGATGCACAGCGAACACAATTAACATGCTCCAAGAAAATTTAAAGTACAAATTAGTTAGACGTCAGAAAGATTTAAATGAAAGATATTAAATAGATTTAAGGGGAGTAAAACGCAGACTTATATATTTTAGTTACATAGTACAATGCGTACTGATAAGATAAAACTGTGAAATTATTACCTAACTCTGGTGAAAAAAAACTTTTTTCTCTTCTCTACAAAAATTATTCTCTTGTCACAGATTCTTGTTGACAGATTCTTTAAAGAGAAGCCATAAAGAAAGAAAGAAGAAGTAGTACAATGGATCTTGTGACGGAAATAACAACATTTGTTGTACTATTAATGTTCTTCTTCTTGCGGTTGCATATCCAATGAAATAACGAAAGCAAAACAGAAACGTAAAGACGCGCCACTACTGCGCGTATATTAATATCACATGCCTGTTCTTCTGTTTGGCATAAAATTATTTCCTCTTCGCTACTTGAGAGGGAAAAGTGCAATTAAGTATTAAAATAAACGTTAGTCCCTCGCCAGGGATTGTGTGAAGAAAAGCCCTTTTGGTAGGAGTCAAGACTTTAAGAAACTTTTTTAAGGGCTATATAGCCTAATACAATGAGCGTAGAACGAATCAATTCTAACAATCGGGGAAATCAGTTGCTGCAAGAGGTATTACCGGATCGATACTTGACCTACTGGGCCTACAGACTATAGATCTAAGGACCTTTAAGGAGACCTATGCCAGCCTAAAAGACGAGCAAGGCATCTGCATCTCCTCTGCCGTTGCATCACTACATAGTATAAAACAAAGTCGTCCCGCTGTCTGTATGTCCCTATGGATCTTGATGCAGTTCTTCTACTAGATAAAGTGATTCACGAGGAAGGTTTGTATGTATAATACAATGCACCCGTGCGAAGCCGAGGCGGGTCGCTAGTTTTTATAAAATTGCCGTTGAATAGCAGCTTCTGCTGTTCTACTATCGCATTTCCTCTGATGATTGGGGTAACCAGGGCTTTTCTGATAATCTGCAATCTGTCTGATGTTATTGTCTATGGGCAGTGGTTATCACTTAACAACCGATGAATTTTTTCGTGGTCTGCTCGCTTGCCAACTTTTATTTTAAAACAAACTTGTTCATTCACGTATCATATTGGCTAAATCAGCCTTCTTTTTAAGACCCATCAGAAGCTCTTATAATAACGGTAATATTTCACATTCCTAAAGTTTTACACGTAAAGGTAATTACTTCTCAATAATGAGATGTTCATTCTAAGATCACTAAATTGGGTTAACGCAATATCTAAAAATAAAAACTAGTTGGCGTTGTTTAAAAGCAAAGCAGTTCATTTATGAATATACTAACTGCTGCCCGTGCTGCTGTCTGCGTAGAATAGGCTGAATGCGAAACATTCAGTCAGAAAGACAGATATACATAAAATATGTATATAAAATGTGGCCTATGTCTTATTCTGATGTGATGTCTTATTTGTGTGAAAGAGTAACAAACATCCATCCATACATACAAACTTTCGCGTTTATAATATTTTAAGGATGTAAATAGCATTTTGTCTGCATTTGTGACATAAAATATCAGTAAAGGTCTGTTATAAAGGTCATGGCCGCCAATTAGTAGAATGCTTCGGCGGGACCGATATGAGGTATGCGCGAGTTGAGGCTAGATCAGGTTTTCTATTTTTTTCGTATATTTTTATTTTAAAATCCGTATAAATATGGCATAAATAGACGGCTGCGATGCATTATGGCCACACTGAAATACACCACAACGATAGCATCTAAAGCACAGTTTGCAATGTCAATCATACATGGTCTTCCACGAAGTCTGCACCACATTACGTTATCGGTGATCAGCGGATAGAAAATAAGTAGAAATTGAGATCTACTGTGTCACTTAGAGACGTCAATGTACTCAACTAACTTTTAATTTGTTCATTAGCGATGTTTAGCAAACTTTTTGATCAGACACAAATTAATAAATAAAGATGAGCACCAACTTTACATCAGACTTGGTTACTTTACTTACCTAGACATTAAATAAAAGTCTTCTTTTAATTAAAAAACAACAGTAAACATTAAACAAAAAGTCTTTTTGTTAGTTAGACAATACACGAATTATAATGCTAGAAAAGGTAACATTTTTGTCAATAAACAAAAGATCCTGTTTTGTTTAATTTGGCGACAATGTCAGAAATTTTTTAAAATGCTTATTAAATAAGGTTAAATAAAAGAAAAATTACACGATGTTTTGAAAATAATGTGAGACATTTTCTATTTTCTTATGTATAAATGTCGTCTAACTGGTTCTTCATTTTAATACATTAATAAATATGTAACTGTGGCAGGGCCACGCTATAATCTTCTTCGCACCAATGTGCTGGTTCGTCCGGGTAAGTACCATGACCTCATAGAAGACCGGCGTGAAAGGGAAGTTTTATGCTTCTGCGTTTCGTTTGGTGAGTGATGGCGCCGGGGCCCAATTTATTAAAAGATTATTTGCAACTGGTCGCGATTATCACTTAACATCAGGTGAACCGCCAGTTCACTTGCTCCCTTCTTACGTAAAATAACCTTTTTTTAAACCCACTTCGCATATTTCGCTCCGAGTTCATTTTATACTTGATTATCAGGAGTTCCCCAAGTATCTCCGGAGCCCAAGTTTCAAAACAATTAAACTAATACGGGACCACATGGGAAGCACCAGCTTTCAAATTAAAAAAGAAACCCCATGAGAAGCACCAGCTCTCAAATAAAAATCATCAAAATCGGATCACTCGAAAAAGTTATGAGGTAACAAACATTTAAAAAAAATACAGTCGAATTGAGAACCTCCCCCTTTAGAAGTCGGTTAAAAAATACTGGTCGGTTAAAAAATTTAAAAATACATGTACAACCGATGTTACACTGATTAACAAAAGAAAAAACAACAAATCGAATCTTACAGCACCGATAAAAACACGCGTTACGCCGTAATTGCTTTTAATTTGTCCCAGTTAATTAAGATTATCATTTTCCGCACAATTGTCGGTTCGTAATCTAATTGCGTTAATAAAACTTGTCGCCGCGGCGGTCCAAAGCAGTTGAGTTGGGCGCCAGCCATTGTCCGTTGTTTGCCCAGTCATTGTGTCCTCTCGTACGGTAGCAGCTAAGGACAAAAAGTGCTTTGTCTCTCTTTCAAGGATAAGTTTTAACGACTCCAAAATGGAGGCTCTTTATTGCGTTTAATTTTTTTATGCAAAGAGGAAATACTCGTACAAACACGCGGCTGCGGCGTATTTTTTGCGCAATTTAAGGCCGGTTTCAATATTCTATCTACAGATTTGGTTGATGGTAATAAAATTTTGACGTAAGTAATGTGGTGCTAATGTCAAATACCTATCGCTTATAACCAAATCTATCGGTAGATAGAATATTGAAACCGAGAAATTACAAACATCTTGGGAACAGTATGCAGCTTATATTTTGTCAAATACAATATTTGTTTATATTTAGCATTGTTTACGATCTTTTCAAATTAATTTTGTATCTTGTCATGGTATCTCAAATTAATGTTGTGGCGATCGATACGCTTTCAAAAATATTATAACTAAAATCGACGAATCGAAATCGAGCCTACCTTTGTGGTTTTCACGAGTTAATCTTTCCCGTTAATTCGCCATTTGCTAATCCATCATCAAACCATCATCTTAGTAGCCCTATCTCAATCTTTGGTAGCTATTAATTTAAAAATAGCAACATTATCTTCCCGTCACTTTGGCTTACGAATACTTTATTTTAATACTTCGACAACTTTCAGCATATCGTGTCACGTTCACGCAAATGACTGGCTAATCTACAAATTACATATTTATGACTGAGATACTGATGTCACGATATGGCTAAGTACAGAATTTCAAAGCAATTACTTCACCTGGTGGTATTATTCGCTTTTAATCGGATTAACTGCCTTCATGATAATACTGGTGACGTGCGGAGACGACGTGCGTCACTCGCGAATTCATGTATAATACAATTTTAAACTAAAGCCTTTTATTGCCATAAGAACCATACTTTTTTATTCAAGACTGGCCAGCGCTTCACTGCCATCCCACCTGATGTTAAATATAAGCAAAAACAGTATGAAACTGCAAAATTTTTCTATATCAAAAAAATATTCCAGAGAAAGCAAAAAGTTGGACGATTATTCTGCGACAATTATTAATCTGCGCAACTTTTTTAGTATTTTTTAGTATTGTGTTTAACATTGACAATACATATTTATACATACATATTTGTCCGTTCGGGTTAAGACCACGTCCTCAGCCGTGTCCTCGGCCGATGCGACAGAGACAGGTGCAACGTGGGTTTTTAGTGGGTACCCGTTTCTCACCGGGACTCCCACATACCGCTGCCACTGCCCCGATCCAGTGGCAGGGGATCCATAAAGGACTTTTTCTCACGGAAAAATAAAAGAAAAAAAAAATTACCACGTCCTCACAGAAGACCGGCGGCGTGAAGCAGAAGTGTTACACTTGTGCGTATCGTCTGGTGAGGGAGGTAGCCGGGGCTCACTTTAATAATAAGTGGCAAATGTCCATGGGCGGTGGCTATCACTTAACATCAAGTGAACCGCCAGCTCGTTAACCACTTTGTCACATAAAAAAAAGTTGAATCAACGCTTTGCTGACGTTTCGGCAAAAGCAACGATGAACGATTACAATTATTTAATCCTGCCCCGTTCTGGCGTCGGGCGCAGTTGTAACACATTCCGTGCTCTACGTAAACTGTTTAAATAATGTATTATAATTTTTTTATATCTACTTGGGATTTCAGACTAAAAAGTTAGAGCTCACAGTTTTTTGGGGAGTAGTTCGAAAGAGCAATTCAGCTTTTAGTGAAAAATATTTAGTACCGGTTCCGTAGTTTTAAAAATGACGAAACATAGCTATTTTCAATCACTAATACAGGTTATTTAACCAGCTGAGTATATTTAAAAGATATGTATTACAATCAGACGCGTGTTAAGGCTGCCGACCGGTACGGAATCTGTCGAGTCAGCATTGCCTGCCTGTTGAATCAATTAGGCACCTAACGCTGGTTGCCGACGGCGGCGCTCGGACCCACGGGAGATAACATCTGTTGTCTTCTTCGTTCAATGAGAGGAATTCAACAAGACAATCCTGTTGTTCGACGGTTTAGTTTGACGTTGTTTCACATTAAATTATTAGACCATTAGGTATTTCCTTCGTAATAATTTAAATTCTTACTCTATTAAAAACAAATCCTATTTTATATACAGCGTGTAAACTGTTTATTTATATTTTTCGTTAAATTTATAATGCTTATAATATAATTATGCAAATGTTACGCAATGATATGATAAAGCCTTATATAAATAATTGAACAAAGCCTACATTGCTATGTAAATGAAACAACGACCAACGGTTGTTGTATTAATACAGCGTGATCATAAATAACATTCCCAGCAATTGCGAAACGCGTAGCCTATCTTGAATCAATGTGTTTGCTAATGTTTTTCCACGAAAGAGATGACCTGATACTTCCATCTCCTTCCCGATGAATGTAGGCAAGCCAAGTAGAGCGCCTATCGTATACATATTTGCACAAGAAACTATAATTCGTTTCTTTTCGCAGTTGGCGTGTAGGCAGGTAACTGATCTAAATGATATATGTAATGGCCTGATTAAAACGTTTTCTGTACATGATTTTCTACGGCGTACATTTTTATCGTGCCTACTTACAATCGTTATTGTTTTGTTACTTAACTAGTTTAAAATAGTTTCGTTCGTTTACATAAATAAAAATAAACACAAATTTGTTAGTTAGGGACAACATAAACATAATTTTAAATTGGCAGATTTAGAGACAGAAAAATTGCATCTACTTTGAATGGATGGCTATTTAGTACCTAGCGGGAGAAGTGTACTGTATACTATGCACTGACCTCGCATTAACGAAAAACCATAGAAATATCCAAATATGATAAGTTGTGAACCTTTCACTTCAACTGATGAACAAATGCGGTAATTAATTACTAAATCTTTAAAATTGTATCACTCTCGCGAAAATTAGTATAAAAAATATAGGCACATTATGTTACATATCGCATAAGCGGCTAACAGTTAAATTACGTATTTAGTATGCAGTGAAGACAAGCAAACCAGTATTAATAAATTGCCAGTTAACTAATTGGTTTGTATTGACGGCGAAACACCTTATAGTTATATCGTTAGTGTAAGACGGTAGCCCTCCCCGGTAGGTACACGGAAACAATAGACGGCGCCGCGCCCGTCAAGCCCGCAGGGCTGCCACTTCAAGGAAAACGGTAAGCGTGGTAATTATTGTATATAAAGGATAATAAAGCTTAAATAACCTTCTTAAACTGATCTAAATGTATACTGGGCATATTTATGTAACTTTAAAGTATTTATAAATTTTATAATTCCAGCGGCTTATATGCCTTTTTACATGATATTTGATACTTATTGTGATATTTTATTTCATGAGGTGGAGATGAAGTAAAACTGTCCCGAAGAAAGCTGAATGTTTGAAAAATTATACAAAAATATATGAATTTTAACGATCTGAGTTGATTTTAACGATTTAACGACTCCAGTGCTCACAAGTCCCACCTCACGAATAAATTTCACATAAATTTCATAACTTTCGCTAATAAATCCCCCTTTGAAAGAGAATATCAGTTGGATCGCCAGCACGCATGCCATCTCTTATTCTCCTTCTTTAATTTAAGAGTTAACAAGGTGCAGCATCCATGTCAGTTCATTAGTGCAACTCCCTCCATCTTTCTCTGTTCACAGCAGTTTCCTTTACCTCCCTATACAACTTAACGTTTATTATCTTCTTAATTTGTGATACATAGTCACACTACACTAGGTCACGCTCTACCCGCTTTCTCAATCTCAATCTTTCCTTGCCATCTCGAAATGTTTTTTTTTTGCTTTCAGATTTTTTTAAAACATTGCCTATAATTTAGGATAACTTTATCCGGTGTTGTAAGTACGTTTTAAAAACATAAATTTCACGTGGACAAACACCCCGATGCGAAACAAGTATCTATGGGTCACACAAATAGTTGTCCCGTGTGGGAATCGAACCCACGACCCCCGACGGCGAAGCCAAAACCTCGGCCACTGCGCCACGGAGTCATAAAAAAAATTGATTAGGCCGAGCGACAACCCTATAACGCGCGGACCGCCGCTGTTTGCGCAACGCTTTCCGCTCGGCGGCGCGCCCTGACTCACGCGACCGGCAACACTCGCCTACTGCCCGTGGCTTGGCACACGAAATACTTCTCTCGTGTGTGTTACGGCTGCATTTTGCAATATTAGTGAGATTGGAATTCAACGATTAAAGCACGTTATGACATTAGTGCGGCGAATAGAACAAATAAGTCTGTAATATTAGGAAAACTTACAGCTATTAAGTACTTATTTGAATAAATAATTATAAAATATATAGAGAATATAAATTCGAGGTTAGGATCCCGCAGCGAAGAACTGATTCCTTTAGAAAAAACTGTAGTGTTGAAAACTTTGAAGTATAGAAATAACTGAGCCACTCAAAGGTCTTCGCTGTCACACGAATGGGCAGGTCCGTGTGGGAAAATCCAAGAACACGCAGAAGACCAGCGTGAAGTGGAAGTAGACTTCGGAATTTCGTCTGGTGAGTGAGGACAAAAGAAAAAAACTCTCAATCCATATGTCTTCGAAATGATATATGTTGGCGCTGTTATCATAAATTCAAAATTAGGCTAACCGCTGATTTCTGACTAATTTGCCTCAAGCTTAGTAGCTACATACGCAACTTGATAGATTCTACCTCTTTAACCAGAGAGTTAAAAGAATGTAACAGCGACATATTAAATAAAATTGTTTACAAGAGTATTAAACACCTAATACTGTGGAACAAAACATTCGTATCTTATATTGTAATGTAATATAAGACATGTTTTACAAGTGATGCGCGTGTAGGTAACGTTCTTAGCACGGTGTTAATTATTGATTATTACTTTTTTCGCCGCGCTGATCACGTTACCAAATCTGATGATTCATCGAATACCTGTTCATCGAAAATTAGTGTACAGGTCGTATCCATTTATACATAACTACGATAAACACAACTGCTCTATGGGCTGATTATGGGCTACCGCCACCGACGGCGAAGGCGGAAGGAGTTACGGTTAATTTAGATAAATAAATACATATTCATACACCAAATCCATCAAGTACACTTTATTAACGTATGCGTGTACTAAAACATTAAACAGAAGAGCCGTAGTTTGTTTCTGTCGGCCTCACACGCCAATAATTCGCCGTCGAGGCGTCAAATGTAACTGCCAGCGAGGCAGCCAAGCGCGAAATGAGGCCATGACAAACGCACTAGTCAGACTGTGAACACGGCCTTACAAATTCGCGATTGTCTTCTCAACGTTAACGGATAGCTCAATTTCTCACAAGTTCTTTTATGCACATTTGACTACCCTTTTCATAGTCCGTCAGATTGAGTTATGCCGAAAATTCTCAACGTTACGTTCTCAACTGCTCGAAAAGTTAATCACGAAATCCCGACTCGCCACTACAATGTTGCCAGAACAGAATTAGCATCAGCGATTTTATGAGTGCAGGTCAAATTAGCGCATGTTTCAGTTGCAACTAATTGACTCATTGCCACGCCATCTTTGCATCTAATCGCCCGGGCCCAAGTTCGGTATCACCAATATTTCATACCTTCAATATTTAAAATATGTTCAGTTTAATAAATGGTCACCTTTGGTCTTTAGACGACGGAAAATTATATGCATTCATATGTTTTAAAGTATTACATACTAGCTGCTGCCCGCGACTAGTACGACTGCGTAGAATAGGCTGAAGGTGTAACATTCAGACAGAAAGATATACCTTATGCCTTATATACCTAGCCTATGTCTTATTCTGATGTATAAGCTATATTATTGTAAAGTTTCATTAAAATCCATCATGTTGTATTTGCGTGAAAGAGTAACAAACATCCATCCATACATACAAGCTTTCGCGTTTATAATATTTAGTAAGGATACACGCATTTGTATAACAATCTTAAATATGAAATAGTTTCCAACCTTCAACATGTTACTGGCTGGTTATAAAGTTACCATGCTTCGTAAAAAATAATTGGCTGAAGTTTGTTTTTAAAAAACAAGGAAGTTTTACTACATTTTGTGGCTTGAATTTCCGACTTTAATATTGAGTCTTAAAAGCTTTAACAAAGTTTTTTATTCGATAAAAAACTTTCTCTCATTTCCTTGCCTAGAAACGCCACGTACCTATTATTGTTTCTGTTTATCCCTCTGAAAAACGTTAGATAATACGATAAACTAAACAAAAAACTGCATTGTGCTTCTTGATGAGCGTTCGCCAGTACAAAGAACAAGACAGCCCCATCAAGAGAACGGTTCCAAAAGAAGGCGTCGTTCAGAACGAAAACCATCTACCAAACTACAGAATGATTGTTTTCTGATGAGTCATTCTTTTAATTAGAAATCGCACATGCTTGTATATGGGCCTCAAGAATAACCTCGAAGTAGTAAGAAATACACAAATTAGTCCATAAACAGTCAGGAGAAAACTTATCACTGTCCCAAGCCTAAATTACTTCTACAGTCTAGAGCACGAGTTAACAGGCTAAGCTTCGCTTAAAATTGTGTCACAAATTTACAACAAGTATAATTTTTAACAAAAAAAAAACCGACTTCAATCAGAAAATTGAAAACATTGTTAATACCTATAACGTTCAATGGTGGCCCTCGATTTCTCTGGGATGCCGTCGTCAGATCCGGGGTTCTTTATCATGGTACCACCCTTGGGATATCTCTTTTCCGACAAAAGAAGAATCATCAAAATCCGCTCATAAACGACGAAGTTATCCGCGAACACACATAAAAAAAATAAAAATATATATACGTTCGCATTGAGAAACCTCCTCCTGAGAAGTCGGTTAAAAATAAGAGTGACAAAGCGCATTTCTTCTTCGATGAAGCTAGTCTATCTCTGTACGGTGAGGACCGACCACGGTGAGTACTACTAAGGCTAGGAGAATGCTTTACAGGGGCATAGTTTGAATATACTCGCTGTACCCGCGACTACGTCCGCGTGGAATTTAAAATAAAAAAAATCTAAAAATCAGCTATCTGCCAGGGAAAGTCCCGTCCAAATCTGTTCAACCGTTTCAGGGATTAGCCGGAATAAACAGACAGACAGACAGATAAAAATTGTAAAAAATGTTATTTTGGTATATGTTCCGTATCGTATATACATCCATATGCATTTAATAAAAAGCGGATATTTTAATATACAAACAGACACTACAATTTTATTTATCTGTATAGATGTATAGATGTGAAATCTGTGTTCTGTTTTGGACAGATATAAATTCGTTGGTTCGTACAGAGGAATTCTCCATCGAAAATGGAAAGCTGACTGGGCATCGATACATAATAGAAGTTCCGATTCGTGTTACACGAGCTGCATGGCTATTAGCGAAAACTTAACTTGGACAACAACGCTCGCGGTTCTTCTGGCTGGCGATGTGGCCTTTGCACATCGCCACAGGTTGGAATTATCGTTTGCATTGGCTTGCCCAAAGTCCCGACCTCAATCCTGTAGAGTATAGTTACATAGTTCGGACGTTTTGAAGCTACAGTTGAGAAGTGTCATTATTATTCTGCGCAGCCAGCTACGTAGAACAGAGAACTGAAGAACATAATAACAGTGCATTGGAAAGAAATTCCACACCAAACCATAAGGGTTGTATTTAACTATTATGCCCAGATCAAGCTGTGATTTCAGCAAGAGAGGGGTTTCACTCAATACTGAGTCCTTACCAGATTTTGTTTTGTTATAGAAAAAAGTGATAAACAGGATAATTTTTAATTTTACTTAACGAGGTTCTTCTACAAGCGCTATAGTTGATTTGTTTGACAGGGAAATATGACGAAGGGGTGAAGCTTCTACATAAATCTACATAGACTTCGACAGTGCACATATAATTCAGTAAATAGGACATGTTACTTGTGTACACACAACATATAATATAATTGTATCCGGTATACAGCAACAAACACCGTGATCTGTCATTTATAGACTTAGCTACGCTGTGTTTAGCTTGAACCTAACGGGCCACTACAGCATGAGCACATGCGTGGCCCTACCCACAGCGGAGGGCCCAAACCCGTGGGTTCTGGCTAGCCCACCAGTTCTGCGTCAGATGAAGCTTTAGTCTCGGGACTAGAAGCAAAAACATCAGGTAATACAAGGGGGCACTATTAAGATCAAAATATGTTTTTGTAGCTTCTTGGTTAAGCTTACAATAATGTGTTGTACAATAACGAAACGCTATTACTGTATAAGCTTATGATCAACTAAAGATACGAACGCTTACATGGACAACATATTTTAGCAGCGGTTTAAGTGGCATTTTTGGGCTTTATTGGATTCTCCTTGAGGCTGACATGTTGTTATGTGGCACCGGGCATAAAAAGCCACTGGAAATTGCGTTTCTACGGGCTGTATCCGATGAGGCTTTACATTTCTTAAAAACGCCGTCCAATTAAGACAAGACGCAGAAACGCTGCCGCTCTACATGGGACCGCACCGCGCGCTGCGTCTAGTGCAATTCGCGCTCGCTCCAGAGCGGGCCGCGTACATCAGTGGAGTTGAGGGCCTTGACGACATTCCCCCGCGTATCACACGGCCGCGGGTTAAATGGCGGAGCGTTTTTTCAACGGCTCGCCGTGGATTCTGCGAAGCGCAAACTGGTCGGACGGGCCGCGCGCGAGTTTTTTCGGCGGGCAACACCGGCACGCATGCGCCGGCTGGGTTGCCAGCGTCGACGATAACCGCTTTGCGAACTCCCTCGCATTGAGTGTAGAGACAAGGCGATGATTTGATTACGACGAAAAGACTTGCGTTTACCCGCTGCACGTTTGTAACCAAATAGTTATTTTGTACGGAATATTAATAGCCCTTTCGTAATCTAACAAATAATCTATTTGCAATCCAGACTCATTATAATCTGTTCATCAGTGACACATTAATTTTACATTCACATTATTCCGATAAAAAGTTGCAACACGTGACCGTATTTATGTATAGCAATACTTATCTAATAATTTATTTCAGCTACGATAAAAGTTACCCAATAGCCGGACAATACTCGATTCGCCGCCTAGCGAGGCTTAGTTTAGCGCCTGGCAACACTAGCTAGCGGCTAATTGACGGCAACCCGCGGCATACTAATGGACGGATTAAAATAGTTTTATGGCCCATAAACGTTGCTCAATATCTCTCTCGCAACGTGTCTCGAACGTACCGGCGGCCCAGCCATAACTTAGATATTGGCGAATTCTGCGTATAATTAAAACACTTGGTTGCTTTTTAATGCCCAGCTTGACCTATAATTTGTTGAGCATTTATATTACTACATATAGAGTACTAAGCACTTATACAGGACTAGCTGTTAAACGCGACATCGCCCGCGGCCGAAGGGAATCGCATATGGCTGAATTTTTTCCTACGTTGATGATACTTATCATTACGTATATTTTGAACAATTCACACTAAATCTTTATAAATTATAGCCTATGTGTTATTCTGATGTATAAGCTATATTATTATAAAGTTTCATTAAAATCTGTTTAGTAGTTTTTGCGTGAAAGAGTACATACAAACTTTCGCCTTTATAATATTACTAGCTGCTGCTCGCGACTACGTCTGTGTAGAATAAACATCCATCATACATACATAAAAACGTATATAAATTTTCGCCTTTATAATAGTAACAAACATCCATCCTACTTTCACGTTTATAATACTAGCTGCTGCCCGCGGCTACGTCTGTGTAGAATAGGCTGAAGGCGTAACATTCAGACAGAAAGACAGATATACATAAAATATGTATATAAATTATAGCCTATGTCTTATTCTGATGTATAAACTATATTATTGTAAAGTTTCATTAGAATCCATTCAGGGGTATTTGCGTGAAAGATTAACAAACATCCATCCATACATACAAACATTCGCGTTTATAATATTAAGTAAGGATATAAGTAAGGATAACGATATTTAAAATATGGCAATAACTATATTACATATAGGCCACATAAAATGTATTTTGTTTATCCATGTTTATTCACGCCATTAATTCATAAACTAAGCATTGAAAAGTAAATCCGACTATATGAACGTGACGTTATAACTGAGAAAGATTCAATATTGCGTCGGACAATAACTTAAAAATGAGATATCCAAGCCAACGGAGGAATGGACTGGGTCTGCTGAATACAGATTGCAATATAACCTAGCCGCATTTGTACTCTATTAGTTTTATCTATTCCCAATATTTGTTAAAACAAATAAACACCAGTAAATAAACATAAACACTTTTATTAAAAAGTATATAATTTCAATTATTTTTACCCATTGCAAGATTTTTATTTTATGACACAAAAACTATTCAGTTCAAGAAAGTAATTAATTTAATTAATGTGAGTACTGATAACGAAGTCGTAATCATAAAAATTGTATCGTATCGTATCACATAATCTTTTATTTATACTTCATAAATCTAAATTTATAATGGCTAAGAATTAGTCATGGAAATTTCATTAGCTGATTAAATCATACTATGACTATTTAGGGCCACTGTGGTCAGAGTGAGACAGAAGTGAGTGAGACAAAGAAAAGAAATTAGAGAACTTTTTTTAAATGCCAGAGTGCCTTTCGAATATAATTTCGTATTAATTTCTTCACCTGCGTACCATTTTGGAAATATCATTAATTCCATATGCTAGCTAAATAATAAGATTGCAATAAGATTGCACATTTATGTTGTTTTTTCACGCGTAAATGAAAGTAAGAAAGATTTAAATCACATCGAATTCTAAATGTTACTATTGATGAAATTGTAGTAAAAGTGTTTCCGAATTCCGAAAAAGGTTAATCTTTTTTATACATTTTGTAAACTTCAGACATACAAAGTCTAATATGTGAACAGTACATACATAGTTCCTTTAAATCTGATCAACTCACGGCAGTACCAAGTGTTTAGCTAACGCCTAACTGGTATACATTAAACCCGCTTATCTACTACAGTCTTATTCACAAGTCTTGCAATTGAAATATGCGTAACATTAAAAATTATATGGTTGTAATTCTTCAGTCATACTTAGATGGTTATCTAATTTAAACCGCAATCTTTATTCTATGTTTCCCACGGCTAATTATCATTTAACATTGCATCTTTTTAAGTTTATCAGTTAATACGATGAAACAATACACTATTCAGTTGGTCCGAAGGTACATCAATTAGGTTTTAGTTAGGTACGGACTAATTAATGTGAAAAGAAAACGGAGAGGGTGATTACTCAAGTGTTAAGTGATTCACTTCCATGGATATCCACAAAACTCTTGGGGTTGCAGTTGTATTGCCAATCTTTAAGAGCTGGCCCTTGTTACGTCACTCACCAGGCAAAAGCCAAAACTTGAAATCCTCTGATAACTGGTTTTAAAACCGAAGACCGATCCATTACGGAGTAAGTCGATGCGCGGTTTTCCCACAGAAAATTTTATCCTACTATAATTTTAGGGGTGTTGGCGGTGTGCTAAGCCGTGGTCAATCACTACATAGTATAAAACAAAGTCGTCCTGCTGTCTGTCTGTCCCTATGTATGCTTAGATCTTTAAAACTACGAAAATGACCCTGATGTGTTTTTTTTTTTACTATATAGAGTGATTCAAAAGGAAGGTTTATATTTATAATACATTGCAGCCGTGCGAAACCGGGGCGGGTCGCTAGTACGAAATAAAACACAGCTCATGTCCTGACCGTCGGGACCAATGGAATTCTAGCAATGTTTAATTAATGCATTATTATAATCATTATATAACGAGTTCATTACTAAACTTTTGAAATACATGCATTAAATTCTCCCTATTTCAGATCGTTTTACCGAGTGAATGGTAAAAATGAAATACACTACCAACGATTATCTCGATACATTTTCATGCCACATCATATTATATGCACAAATTAATCAAATTTTAAAATGTTTGTAAGACACGAAGAAAAACGTAAAAATATATTCAATTCAAATTTATATAATTTATAGAGACGTTACAGATTGTCTAATAATTTGTAAACATCTCATTAAACATTAATTATATTCTTTATCTTTATTTTTGCTTTACTTTTATTAAATCCTTGCACTGGTCGATATTTCAAATAGGAAGTAATTTAAAATACCTGAACCTGATTTAATTTTCGAGGCCAAATGTTTAAGCTCAGACGCAAACAAGAAACGGTGTTCCATGTAATAATTTAGTGTTTAATGATATTAAGAAATATATACCTAAAAAGAGAGAAATCGCTCGAAAATATCGTCTGCAAGATATTTCTTGAGTGTTTCGACATTAATAACTACATTAGTCGTTGAGAAAGTAAGGGTGATGAAAACATAGCTTCATCATCATTGAATTTGCACACATACTAATAACCGTATTCTCGTATATACAAACCGTCATCTGACGACTCAATAAAGCCATTACCGTAAGCAAAAACTAGAGTAAAAGTTTAGCCGAGACCACAGTCTGCAATCAAATACAGCTTGAAAGCCGCACAAAAAGGCAGTAATCGATATATAATTGCGGGCACCCCGTTCAGAAACGTGTGTGGGAAGAACATACTTATGTAATGTCGCATTTTCGAAAAACGACATATCATCATTGAAGAACAATGTACGAAATGTGTCCCAAAAATAACCTTGCATGAGGGTTACGTTAAGCTATTTTGAGCTCTACCCCAAGGGTGCTCTTTGAAAAGGGGCTTCCGTGACTATATATAAATGTGAAAAAACTATCAGGTCTTCAATTTGTGCATTTTATGCAAACTGCGTATAAGAACTGCGAGATAAGAAACAGTAAACTTCTGCTTTAATGAAGTGTTAAACGATTCGGTTTGGACCAATTTAGCATGGCAACTAAGATTTCCACGATAAGCAAAGCATATACGCGGAAAATGCCGTAAGGCAAAACATTCTGCAGTAACAAAACAAACAAACTGCTGCCATTTAAGAATTTCTGACATTTAAGCTGCTTTAAAGCATTCATTGCAAATATGTTGGTCTTAATAATTTCTATTATTTACACGCAAATTACTGTTTTAATACAACTAGTATACTTAATGCATCGCAATTTGGTTTTAAACAAAGTATAAAACAAAGTCGTCCAGCTGTCTATCTGTCCTTATGTATGCTTAGATCTTTAAAACTACGCAACGGATCTTGATGCGGTTTTTTTACCAGATAGAGTGATTCAAGCGGAAGGCTTATATGTATAATACATTGCACCCGTGCGAAGCCGGGGCGGGTCGCTAGTCATTTATACTTTCAACCCTACGGACCGTGAAAATGTTACTTGCGAAAGTGGTAACCTTTTCGAGGGTTGCCTAAAATTCTGCTTAATATCCAAATAGTTTTACGGTGGTAGGACCTCGTAACAGTCTTCGCTGTTGCAAGAATGGGCATGTCTGTCTGGATAAGTACCACGACCTCACAGAAGACCGGCGTGAAGTGCAAGTATTATTTTTTCATTTTCTGCGTTTCATCTGGTGAGTTAGGTAGCCGGGGCAACTTTTTTAAAAAGTGGCAACGCAGAAAACACGGGTGTTGCAAATGTCCGTGGGCGGCGGTTATGGGGGTACTAGGTTAGGTGAACTGCCAGATCACTTGCCACCGTCGCACTTTAAAAAAAAACCATGTACCCTCATCGTAGGTAAATTCATCCGTAGATAGTTAATGCCCAAATCAGTAAAAATATATTCAGAGTTAACTCCACGTTCAAATCTTCAGAAAAACCCATAGACTTCAATAAAAATAAAAAGTATCTATCATTTCCTTTACAGTGGAGCCTAGTGTCGCATGTCACCTATCAGACATTAAGAATTAAATACGCACTTTGACACCTACTCGTAAAGTAACGGTAAAACAAGCTCCACCTTTTCTATAACTGCAAGCGATGTATTTCCTGGTACTTACGCCGTTTGACAACTTATTATCAGATTAACTCTTGCTACCATCAGCTTTCTCTGACGATCATCAATGTTGCTTGTGACCAAGTAGGCTGTCGCAGCCATTACATGAAATTTGATCAACCTCTTTTCTCGGACTCACCTGATTTCAAGTGATTACCACTGCCTATGGACATCTTTATATGTACCTAATACTTTATAATACCTTATGATACGATCCTATGCTGCTACAGACACTTTTTTTTGATGTTCTCGTTTATTTTAATTTTCGAAATATTTATAATTATTTTATGTACCGTGTAATTCCACTGTTTTTAAGTTTGTTATGTATTTATTGTGGTTAGACAGTGAATAAAAGTATTTATTTATTTCTTTCTTCAGATGTGTTGCAGACATTTAATAAAAATTGGTTCACCTCACTCACCAGACAAAACGCAAAGAAAGGATAGTAATTCAACAAGATACACACCGGTCTGCTGTGAGGCCGTGGTTTTGCCCTTTTTTGGACGAGGTTCTCCATCTGTACAAGAGCAGAAGCTGTTGCCATGGTGCTACAGTAACATTGACCGGTTTCCTTACCTAGTCAAAATATAGGCGAAGGAACAGCCTAATTTCGATAAAAAAATAGTTACTGATCATCAAAAAAATTGAGTACTTATATATAATCTGTAAAACATTACATATTATCATTACTCGGTGCAAATGAATTGACATTACGACAGTAATCAAGTTGATACTTCCGCGTAAAAGCGCGGCGGCCGTAAGAAGTAACTGTCGTCGACGCCGCAGGGGCAATTTAGAGCCAGCGGCGTAACGTCGAAGCAACAGTTAGCCGACCCGGCACGCATACATGCGCACAACAACGTATCTTTCACGGAGGAGGTTTCTAACGAGTGTGCGGCTCACCTGATTAGGTCATCTTACTTCTTACTAATCTTACTATCCTACTTCTTACATCTTAATCTTAATTAATATTATAAAGGCGCAAGTTTGTATGTATTGATAAATGTTTGTTACTCTTTCACGCAAATACTACTGAATAGATTTTAACGAAACTTTACAATAATATAGCTTATGCATCAGAATAACACATAGGCTATAATTAATATACATATTTTTATGTATATCTGTCTTTCTATCTGAATGTTACGCCTTCAGCCTATTCTGCGCAGACATAGTCACGGGCAGGAGCTAGTATTATAAACGTGAAAGTTTGTATGTATGAATGGATGTTTGTTACTCTTTCATGCAAAAATTACTGTATAGATTTTAATGAAACTTTACAAAAATATTGCTTATACATCAGAATAACACATAGGCCATAATTTATAAAGATATTGTGTGAATTGTCCAAAATATCGGTAACGATAAGTGTCAACTAAGTACGAGAAAATTCAGCCATCTGCGAGATATTCTGGTGTAAAATAAAAAACTCATTGTTAATTTTTTAGCCGCGCGGGCGAAGCCGCGGTTAACAGCTAGTTACTAAATTAAACTATGTTTACGGATTTATCGCGTTTATTTTCGGTTTTAATTCCCGACGTTTCGAACCCTTTACAGCGTTCGCGGTCACGAGACAGACTCTAGGTCTGTCTACTCTAAGTTTAGTGTGGTCGCGTAAATACAAGAAATTATTATGATTAGGTCATTATCTCACATAGGCATTGCCAACTTTAGTGAAGTGAGCCTTGGTTACCACGCTAACCAGACGAAGTGTAACTTTACGCCCGTTTTCTGCGAGGCCACGACACTTGATGACCCTCGACCCTCCTCAGGCATTAACTACATCAAGGGTAAAATTGGGAATCTATTAATGTTGACTATGAAAATATAAGCCTGTAAAGTCAATGATGTTTAATAACATAGATGACGCACAATGATATTATAAACAAATGCGAAGTGGATAATATAACACTAGCGCAACGAAACTGAGGCACTCAAAATACACCAATTGGAGTTATTAGATTATCCCTTTCCGTATTACACCTTCAATACGTATTACTTATAATATCATCTATTACATTCAATTTTATATGTCATATAATATAAAGCGGAACAATTTTTAAAAGCTACGCTGTATAGAAATGCTCAATTTGTAGTAAAACATCATTGGATGACGCATATCCATATTGCGCGGCGTTTAAAAATAGTTCCGCTTTACATTATATGACATATATAAGTGACTGTGACAGATGATATAGTACGTATGATCCGAAAAGAGATAGCGCACGCAAAATACACGCTATTTATTATCATTCCTGTACGCTAGTGTCATAACTACCTTTTATTTGTATATAATATCATTGTGTAAAGTAGTCTCCATGCAGAAGTAAAGACGTTTTTATATTTTTTGCGTTTCTTTTGGTGCGTCAGGTAACGAGGCGCGCATTATCGTATTATAATAGTCTATCATAACCACTATAATACACGCCTCGGCTCTCTATCAGTGATAAACTAATCAAAACTACTTGTATTCGGGCACACACGCTAACATAACATAAGTATAAATTAATGTTTATTAATAATAAACCAGTAGAGTGGTATTTACGTCAGCTTAGAAGTTTTGATGTTGGCGAAATATTTTTGTATTTTTAGCAAAAGTTTTTTATTTGTTAGAAATTCTGTTACTTAATTAAGCTAAACGACTTGTGTTGTTATCTGTTTTTATGTTTTACTTTTTTGTTATTGTAATCTGCAAAACTTTGTGACGTCTCTACAGTCATTAAGCGCATGTAATTACGGTGGTAGGACCATGCTTACGATGGTAGGGCTATGCAGCAGCCTCCGGTGTTGCACGAATGGGCTGGCTCGTCCGGGTAAGTACCACAACCTCACAAAAGACCGGCGTAAAGTGGAAGTATAATACTTTCGCGTTTCGTCTGTGAGCCCAATTTTCAAAAGGTTGTCAACGCATCTGCAACCCTCGGGTGTGACAGATGTCCATGGGCGGCGGTATTCACTTTACATCAGGTGAACCGTCTGCTCGCTTCACAACTTTTCACATAAAAAAAACTATTTAGCTGCGCTTTATCGGTACGCTTTACAACAAAAACAGCCAGTAGTCCACAACAATACATGCGATAGAAGACATTACTTCGAGCCTCAACCGCTGACGATCCCGCCAAAGCTGCATCGGGACTACAAAGCCGGCAATCAACTAAAAGCCGCGGCACTTTCCAATTCCATTTCCGCCGTCCGGGGCGGCGAAAATGGAAGGGGGCGGCCGGGGAATATTCCAGATCAGGGGAAACGGGAAAGTAACAAGCGACATTGTTATATTCCAGTCTAGAGTAATACAATTAGTATTATGTGTCGCTCACTTGCCTTAATCACTTCTTAGATAAATTTAAATTTAAATAAATAAATCGTATTTAATGAAGTTTGACGCTGAGCTTATCATAAAATAACTACTTATTTATTAATATAGTAATAACTACTTATTAAAGTAAAACCTCATTCACGATTTACAAGTATCTAAATAGGAAAAGTCGCTCGAACTTGAAATGAATTAAAATTATCGATCGTTATATGAAGGTGAAAAATGGGTGCAAACAAAATGTTTTATGGTTAGGCGTCTTGTTTAAGTAGATTGAATAGTTCAATAGCAAATTTATTCATTAGTCTGCGTAGGTCGAGCCTGGACGCGATTGAAGGGGCAGTAAAGTTACAGGCTATACATGTCCCACTGGTTGGCAACGGCCTCCTCTGTACAGAGGATGTCAGGGCATAGTCCACTACGCGGCCCCACTACGGATTGTCTGACTTTACATTATATCCACTCTTCACAAAATATGCAGGTTTCACGATGTTTTCTTCATCGCTCCGCAATTCTTCGCATTGAACCATGAACATTGGAATTTCTTCAATTGCGTTTTAAAAGTCTCCGGTAGATGTATTGGTAAATATTTTTTTTCTTTAGATTTTTGCCCACCGTAAGCGGTAATATTTGAATTAAATAAAACTACCACATGCCGGCTTAAACATTGTTTATATTGATATTTCTAGCTTTATTAAACCAACTATAAACTATTTTGGACCAGCGAGAACAAAATGAAACTCATCAATATCATAACCTAATAACATCTTTGATTGAAAATTAAACATAATTTTGTAAAATTAATACCATGCAAGGAAATGAATTAAGTAATTTCTTTCATTACGCTAATTAAACGCTACTAATTGCTCTTTGGTTAATTCTCATATCGTTTTAATTGTTTAGTCATAAAATATAAAACACAAATGTACCCAAACAATATTAAAAAAATATAAAACACGTGAAACACGTGTTGAAAAAATGGAATATTTGGACGATACGCTTATTTGCTATTTCGTTATTTATTTCGTAATAGTTGCGTTAATAAAATGACTCAGCACATTTCCTTTTTCACATGAAATCGTATCTAGAATTTTCCGCGCACTCGAGCGGTCCATTGTCGCGGACCCCAAAGCCCACCCGCCGCTGGGTCGCCACCACCCCCTCGGGCGGGCGAGTGGGGGCTCGGCCCCCTTCGCGCGCTCACTAATTGCGCCCCCAAATTGGGGTAATGCACGGAGCGGTGTTCGGGATTTTAATAAAGCATGAGCCGGGAGCATCAAAGCGACCATTTGTTTTAGTTAGCGCGGCTTTACGTCTCGCGTGATCCGAAACTGCGTAAGTGCATTAACGTGTCGCATCTAAATAACCGATTTTTAATATAGTCTGCTTGCATTTTAAACTGCCGTTTAGTCTTTTGTTGCAATCTGTGAAAATTGAATATGCAAGAATGAAGAAAACACTTAAATAAATTGTTTTATTCCAAACTAGTTATGTATGACCCAGCGTGTATTGCACGGTTGTATTTTTTACCGAAATATATAATAGTACGCAAAGCAACTCTCCAAACTTTCATCATGATCGGACGAATAGTTTAGTAGTGCATCGTGGACATACTAACATTGACTTTTATTTATAGAGAGAGAAGATAAACGCCATAACCATCTCATCTCTCCATTTGGATTCCAAAAAGGCACTAAAACCAATGTCCGAACCTAAACAAACAATAAGACAGAATGCTTAGTTTCGGGGCAATATCATAAGCAATACCGTCCGAGAGCTGTCAGACGCACGTTTCGCCGAAAGGGCCGGCTCATATATTGCGGGCGACGCATCGAGCGCCGCGAAAAATCGACATAAAACCCGATTGAAAGCCCGTAAATAAAACATGCTGCAGATCTCCCTTCGAGACATTCGCGTTATTAACTTACGCGGTTCCCGGAGCGTTTTGCCGCCAAAACAACGAGCATTTTGCCCCCCGGCGCGCGTAAAAACATCCACAGCGCCTCGCGCGAGAGGGACAAAGCGTGAGCCCCGCAGGATAGAAAGGGATGGCTGCCTTAATATTTTATCACTAATCTTCTCATCAGAAACACGCGGGCCAATCAAAACTCGACCGTATTACGTACACGTTGAGGGCGAGTACGTCTTGTTGACACGGGGGATTGCGTGTGTGCCCTTACGTCGGTGAAAGGAAATTACAACCACACCCACGTATAATGTTGCCGCAATAAAAAACGTGCGAGAAGAAATAATGAGCGGTTACTGGCGAGCGGAGAGCCGGGTCCGGCTATTTCTTTATCCGTTCGCCCTTTAATTGATTAGAAGGCGCCGTAAAGGGCGCAGTCTTAATAGGCGCGAGGCGAGGCGTTGCATGATGGATGAGGGGTGCCAGGGCGCGATTGCAATCACACGCGTGATGCAGGCGAGGCCGATCGTTCCAATTCATTGGGATCGAGGACGGCGCACTCGCGAGACGAATTGTCATTCAGCGCGGCGCGCGCCGTCGCTCGGGATGCGGTCTCATTGTTACGAAGATCCGCCGCTGATTGCGCGCCGTTCGCGCAAACCGCCACGGGAATCACTCCGCGTGCACATGATGCACAGTTCGATTATACACCGCGCTCCGTGCCGCATTGATCGCTGCGAAATATCTGCTTAAATTCAATTGTAATCACTTACGAACTGAGAATGATAAAAAACTAAACGGTAGGCATTCTATACCAGGATGTCAAATCGAATAACTGAAATGTAAGCTTGTCAAAAGAGGTACCTATACTAAACAGGACAATGATTTGAGATGATCCATTTAAAGAATAGTCTATCATTTAATTCTCAATTAATTATAGTAAGTGTTTATAAAACTATTGAATTTTAATCGAGTATTCTAAAGTACAATCGCAAGACGTGCATTGTATCTCTTAATTTCTTACGTTTGTTTAAAGCTGTTACCCTCATAGTAATCGAGTCTACCACTAGATAAGGCAGCGCATATGTTGGAACTTTGGAAACGAGCTCAACACATAAGAAGTCACAAAGTATATTACGTGAGATAGGATGAAGAATAGGTGTCGAATGAGCTGGTGGTTCACAGGATGTTAAGTGAAAACGGCCGCCTATGCACATTTGCAACATCTGTGCGGTTGTAGATGCGTTACTTACTTACTAGAAGGTGGGCCGCGGTTACTTCACTCATCAGACAATACGCAGACGCATAATACTTCGACTTCACGCCGGCTGTGGTACTTCCCGGGACGAAGCTAGTACATCAACAAACTAACTAAAATGGCTACCGTACAACAATAAGATAATTACCGTTAACAGGAAGAGAATTGGCCAAAGTAAACGAATATCAAAACAAACCTAAACAAAAACTTAATCTTTGTCAAAATCCTTCACAATACTGTTACTTTAACTATAAGGACTGTAATGAGTCTTGAGTAATACTATGTTATTATGTAAGAGTATAACCCATGTAAAGCGACGCAGAAGAATCTATTGCTTCACGAATCGGCTGATCTATCCGGAGAAGTACGACGACCACAAAAAATCCCGTAGGAAAGTTGGAATCCATTTAATTTTTTGAGGAAAAACAGAAGGTTGTCATCCTGCAATATAGAGGCTGTTGCAGGACAACAACGATCCTACCACCTCCTGGATGTTTTCGCACCCATGGCTGTCAACACCCATCGTGACATGAACCGCGTTTGATCACCACCATCTCCTATTATTTTATATAAATCTTATCATGCTGTTTATTTTTCCCCGTAATAATCTTTAAGGATTTGAAGTACGATTCAACTGTTTTAAATCGAATATCGCGAATATTAGTGCCTATATTCATAACTTTTATACTTTCTTCATATACTATAAGTCCTTTCACATATAATTCCTTTTGAAGTATCCATGGAATATAACGCACAAGAGATCCGCCCCGGCTCCGCACGGTTGCAATGCTGAATGTTTGTTTTCGACACCTAAAGAAACCTCTAAAACTATCAGTGTTTCTCTACTAAATTATGCATGAATTATACATCGCTTCGAATTATACAATCACTCTAGCTATTAAAGAAAGCCGCATCAAAATCCGTTGCATAGTTTAAAATATCTAAGAATATATAGGGACAGACAGACAGCGGGACGACTTTGTTTTATACTATGTAGTAATAGTTATATAGAAGGTCGAAACATACACGCGGTTGGCCTTTAAGTAAATTATTACCCATCTCCCAAACCTCTGGTGGTAAGCGCAGCAAATTACCAACCCGATACAAACGCGAACGTCAACAAGCGTCGCCTGCAAAACGTCCTCATCGACCCGGTCGAGGAAGAGGACTTAGATACGGACCCACCGTTGGTGGTCCCGCCGGATAACACTACAGCCACAGCTAGTGTAACAACAAACACAATAGTTCGCCCTCGCCTCCGAGCACGGCGAGACCAACACAACGCGTACACAAGGTAAACCCGCGTTCCAGGGCGGTTCTCACCGCCCGCAGCCACCGATTAGCTAAATACACAGTCGACGACCATCGGGGTCCCGGTCCGCACCGCAACCTCGATTGCCCTTAGATGACATGTCAGATGAAGCTTTAATAGTCTCGGGACTGAAAGCACAAACATCAGTTAATACAAGATAAAAGATATTACGAGAGGATGTACATAATTTCCGTTGCCAATATATTACCTGAAAAAAGAAAAATCGTGTTAAATCCATACAATCCTGGCTTAATGTCCAAGGGTAGTACTTCCTGAGTCGAGTTAGCCTATTCATACCATTGGTGGTTCTACCATAATACGAAGAACTGAGGAAGATAACTTGACTCGGAATATCGTAAAATATCATTTGACGTAATGCTTATAGCATCGGACGGAGTATTTGTTTGTAAACAATAACTATAATAATTTTTACGAGAGATTCTTACTGATCTCAATGAGGATATCTTATGATATCTGACATCTAATGATATATAAACAACAATTTTAAGCAATTTATGATATTCTATTTAATAACGTACAGTTTCTATTTACTTCTCTTTTTCTTCCCTATCCTTTTTCACAAAATAGATCTAAAATGAATTGCAGGAATTACATAACTTTTTGTCTAACTTTTTATCCCGCCGACAAAATTATTTGAAATGTTGATGATTCGCGCGATGACGAATTTTAATATAACCAAAACGTTGCAAATGGATCGTGCTGAAAAAAAAAAGATATACGCAAAATAGTTGCCTTAATAATTTACAAACTTTATTTATACACGTATAAAAATTTGTAAGAAATTGGTGTATTCTATATGTGAAATGTTTGCGTGCCCAGAGCGTTTTGCATGTCTGTCGTCAGTTAATGCGCAGTTGAAGCAGAGTACCAAACTGGTGAGGCTGATCTTTCGAGACCGAGAAGAGATGGAGCCATGGTTTTTATGTTATAAAACTATCTTGTCACCGGTCATATACCCAACTGTGGGTAGAACAATGCTTATATACTATACTTTACACACTGCTTACGTATTGCTCGGGAAGCACCGTAGCCTCAGAGAAATCGACCGTGTAATTTTTTTTGTGTTTTGCGGTGGTTGGGCCACGCAGCAGCCTCGGCTGTTGCACGAATGGGCAGGTCCGTCCGGGTAAGTACCACGACCTCACAGAAGACCAGCGTAAAGTGGAAGTATGACAAATACTTTCGCGTTTCGTCTGGTGAGTGAGGTAGCCGGAGCCCAATTTTCAAAAGGTTGTCAACGCATCTGTAACCCTCGGGTGTAGCAGATGTCCATGGGCGGCGGTATTCACTTAACATCAGCTGGTTTGGCAACTTTTCACATAAAAAAAAATGTGAAAAGTTGTCAAGCGAGCATGTGGTTCACCTGATGTTAAATGAATACCACCGCCCATGGACATCTGCTACACCCAAGGGTTTTGAGATGCAAATGGACTCCGGCTACCTCACTCACCAGACCAAACGAAAGTATTATACTTCCACTTTGCGCCGTTCTGTGAGGTCGTGATACTTACCCGGACGAGCCTGCCCATTCGTGCAACGGCCGAGGCTGCTGCGTGGCCCTACCACCGTTAGAATCCTTGTCATACTTTTGCAATTCTTGCAGTTAGTGTGGTAACCGACACGTGTGAAAGGTCCCCGGGCGGCGGTGATCTTACCATCAGGTGACTTGACTTCAAATCTACCTATAGCACCTATTCCCAAACTGACCATAGAACCCATCTTCCCTAATGAAATTGTGATTTTTCATTATTCAGTAGTTTCGCGGCTCTTTATTGGCAGTGTGGACTACCACGTTCATTTTCCGAGTCAAATCTCAACAAATATTAGACGTAACCTTAGATTTCGCGTAAATACTAGAAATTGTTGTTAAACTTCTAAGTTCTATTAATTTAAAAACTTGCACCTATATTTTCACCCGGTAATGCATGAATGATGTGTTTTAGTCACTTATAAGCTATCAACGACTATCAGAATTAGTATAACACTAATCGTATTATAAAACAACTAATTGTTATTTATGAATGCAAAGTTAGCTTATCAAGAGAGAAACTAAGAAGTCTCTTTGGCTAGTAACTACTTTAATTTTACTTTCAACTATTAAAGATTGCAGTACAGAACTCGTGGGCTAGCCGGAAATCACGAGCGTGATACGGCCCACAACTCTGGGCAGGGCCGCGCATGTCCTCATGCATGACTTATCTTAAACGGAAGATACGTCACCTACGGACCATCGAGACTACAGACTGACCACGATTAATAATTGGCTGAGGGTGTCGAGAACCGCCCGGAAACACGAGTGTAACTTGTGTACGCGTTGTATTACGGTACGGTTTTACCGTGCTCTTAGCATCTGCTTTATGTGAGCATTATTCGTGAGTATACTCTTGGCGAGCGATACCCTTGACGGGCTCGATATAAGTATGTCCTCCGAGTGGGAGTGTTGATGAGGTTGCGTGGGTGTGGTTTGTAAACGGCCGCGTTTCATTTTCGGTTGGTAATTCGTTTACCACCTGAAGATTGGAATGTTTACGACTCTCTCGATGGACCGTTTGGTTAACTCTTTAGTTAGCTCTAGTTAAGTGTGCGCGTATTGTTGAGAGTTGTTGTCGATGTCGGTCGGATTTCTTCCCATTTCTGTAAGGTGCCGTTACACGATTAAGTACAATTGTTATTTTATATATGATGTTAAATAATTCTTCTGTATCTCCTAATAAATAGAAGGTCTATAATACTGAGGAATTTGTATCTATTGAATTACCGGGAATTCGTTTATAAGCCCTAATGGCCACGAGTTTTTGATGTTGCTTTCTTTGGATGATGGTTTTGCTTTCAGTCTTAGGCGCTTCATCGGACGAACAGCCCGTAGAAAGGCTTGCAGGATTGCAGTTGCGACCGAGGATTGGCTGTTAGTGAAGGAACCATCCAGCATTATGTCTCAAAACTGTCCTTAACTCATCTTGAAGAAAAGTAACACAGTCACGTGGAGAGGTGAAGAAACCCTGATAAAGAGAAAGATAAAGGAGCACCGCGTAAGGCGCATCAATTACTACGTCAATCATATAAGGCGAAAATGCGATACAAAAACGGATACAGTTGACACAATCGCGCGGCGCGGCGGGCCGGGCAAGAACAACGCATCAGCTCTAAAAATAAGCCCGTAAGCGGCCGACTAGCGTTCGCTCCAGGCTAAGGCCGCCGCTCGGAGCGACCGAATGCATACGCGCGCCGGTGTGAGTGAGCGGGCGTGCGCGTGTGTGCGTCGCCGGTAATTCGTGTGCGACCGAATGAGCGGGTGCTCCTTTGATTCGTGAAGGAACACGATTTTCATTCTCGAGTGGCAGTCGCGTCGCGTTGAAAGGGTCAAGCCGGCGACAGCGTGGTGGAGACGTCGCCCGACGTGGGAACGACTTACGTATATCGTCCATGATTCTCGCCCCCCCCCCCCCCGCGCTCGTGACGTCATCCGTCATAGATTCTATTGCGGGCACGCTTACATGAGACTTTTTGACGCGATGTTTCCCTTTGTACTGTTATCTACTAACATAATACATAAATATTGCATTGCCGCGCGATGATAAAAACAATTACAGTCAAATTTACAAACCAATGTTTTGGAGTTTTCGTCTGATTATTTTCTTATATTCCACACACTATTTGGTTTCTAAAGTACATTAATGAAACTCAGACGTCAATGATTTAAAAAAAATATACGCAAAGTTCAAATAAATGTTGAATTACAATTCCATAGATGTAGGGTTACGCTCTATATAAAAAAAAACTGTATAAGAAGTATAAAAAACGATACATTATTTATACAAGGTCACAAAGACCCTCAAACATATAATAAACACATATTCCTAATGTGCTACAACGTTATATGAAGGCGACGTTATCTACAGTATTTATTTCCAGACACCACAAGTCAGTGGCAATTGCCCACGCTAAAACAATAATAAATTATCATCGAAACTTCTTTATACCCGTTGCCAACAGATAAGATATACAGTTTGCTCAAATTTCTATCTTATTGCTCATACTTAAAGTAGAAAATCGATAACAAACTAACAGACGAGTGTTACATACACTTCGAAGAGGACAACTTGATTGTTTATATTCTTTGAATTCTCCGATAAATTCTTTGAGATATCGTCAACTCAAATGTTTTAGTTAAAATGAGTATCGAAATTAACTTCGGCTCTGCTTTACAGAATGATATCGGGTCCAAACAGACCTGCCTAAATAAGAGATATAAAAGAAAACACATGACAAGGAAGACAAACACTGTCCGTCTCTCTCTCATTCCGAAAGACAACCAAAACATGACAAGCGGTAAGCTTGTCTCTGTACACAGCCAAAACGCATACGTAAAAAATAACGGTGGACGGAGGGTTTTAGTAATTTTACTTAAATCCAAGCACTGTCGACTTGTAAACTCGGGACTGTTGTTATGCTAATGAGTGGAAACCGGTTGCTAGGACGCTGCTGAAAACGAAACTTGGAGCCCGCTGGTATACTCTCTAATTGTGCTGTCCCAATCCAGTCTAAGTTCAGTTCTCGGCCAACCGTAGTCGATGTCGAATTGATTTCGACTACGATGACTATGTCTGTACTACCGTCATCAACGAAAAGTCATTGTTTCGTTTGTAGAATTATTTCTATTTAGCATTAACGTTATTTCGGTTGTGTATCATTTGCTAACAATGTCATAAATTATAAATTGTGTACCTTTTACATCTTCACTTCAGTTTAATTATTAAAATTATCGGTGCCATACAGCAGCCTCGGCTGTTGAACGAATGGGTAGGCTCGTCCGGGTAAGTACCACGACCTCACAGAAGACCGGCGTTCAGTGGAAGTATAATACTTTCGCGTTTCGTCTGGTGAGTGAGGTGGCCAGAGCCCAATTTTCAAAAGGTTGTCAACGCATCTGCAACCCTTGAGTGTAGCAGATGTCCACAGGCGGCGGTATTCACTTAACATCAGGTGAGCCGTCTGCTCGCTTGGCAACTTTTCACATAAAAAACAAAAAACAATCGGCATTCAAATCCCAGTACTGGCAGCAAGAAATGGATAATTGCAATTTCAAACTCGAAAACCAATAAAAAAATCGTAAGGAAACCTACATATAAATTTGTAATATGTTACTTTACTTCACGTGAATAAATATACATGTAGTCCATCGAATGCGTGTTCGGATTTTACAAAATCCTACAAAGATTTTACCCAAGCAATAACTTCTAAACGGTGCCTTCGGGCGATTCAATTTAAAATTTACGTACGGAGTGTGACAAGGTGATGATTGAACATTTTATTACCGGGACGATCCAAGATCACAGGGAGGGAGCGACAGTGTAAATACGTTAAACGGAAATAGGAAGGGTAAGTGAGATAAGATATTCTTGGGATATTTGCTTTATATACTATTAGCTTTTCGCCAGAGGCCTCGCTCGCGTTGTAGCTCTTAAATAAATGTCTGCTTTCTTTAAATATATTTTTAATAAAAATAATCCTATGTCCTTTTTAACACCTCTAAGAGCATGTGTACAAAGTTTCATGCTAATCGGTTAAGTAGCTTTGACATGAAAGCGTAACGTCGAAGTAGCCTTATTGATGTCTATGCTCTGTCCGGGTCTGATGAAGCGTATCTATTATAATAAGCAATACTTAAATAAACTTTCAGCTTTTTTATACATTTCAAAGTAAATATTAGTTCCACACTTAGGAAACAACAGATCCATATCCAGAAACACGTCGCTGTATTCTAAAAAGGCATTTCGTAAAATGTGATTTTTGTTGATATATGAACAAAAACTATCGACGCTGAGGGATTCGAACCTGTTTCTTCCGGTTTATAGAGAAATAACACGCAGATGTAATTGAAATAAGGGTAGTTAAAATGGTAAAAGCCCCGTCGACATTGATAATATACAGTCGTATCGATTAATCTCTTTACTGATTTCCTAAAAGTCATAGATATACAGTCAAGGTATAAAAAATAAATAAGCTCTCATGTTGTTTAATTATTACAGGGTAAAGGAAGATAACTAAACTCTCCATATGACACTGATCCCATATTGCCTTAATATGACAGCCTTGTCACAATACATCAGACACCAATTTGAAGCAATGCTTTTTGCATAAACGGGTTTACCGAAGAATTACCTAAACATTGGCCAGCACAATCTTCGTGCTTAGTACTCCTTAACCCCAATTAACAATTAAAGGTTTTTATTCGCTCTGCGATGTGCGTATACTCTTCTTGTTCCTCGCCTAGAAGGACAGCGCATTTTATTGTAGTGTTATTGACTAGCTTAGCTGGCTTGTCTTGTCTCGTTTTCTTGTCTTGTCGACTTAGGCAGCCGCCTGACGTCGCCTTGGGAGTAGGTACCACCGCGATACGCGTATACGGCCTAGAGAATTCCAGGCATCGCCGCGTCATAATGAACGGGTCCATTCCGGCGCGTAACGACCACAAACTGCCCGGGTCGAACCCTAATTGCCGCTAAGTGCGCGGAATCCGCCGCGCCTCCATACAGGAGCCACGTTTTTAACTGATCGTACTAAAGTTCCACCTCGCATTCCGCCTCCTCCGCATCACCGACATGACGTGTACATTTGAAATTATAATTTACGATCCCGACCCGCGAACCGTCGACAAAAAGGGTCACCGTCGCCCTAAAGGGTGCGCCGCGGTAATTATTTTAATTAATACCATCTCGTGGTCATTTCTGCGTTATTTCTTAATTCGATTTGATTTGTTTCGCTTGTTTCTCGCACCGCTTCTACGTTTGCCGCTTAATCGATCCCTAAGTACCCTTTTTTGTATCACTTTGCAATTAAAATTGTATGCAATAAAATTTGTATGCAATTTAAATCTTTAATTAAGACGAAAAAATGTCTCCTTATATGCGGTTCGGGCATTCCAATTCGTTGTAGGCACTTGGGTATTGTATTTATAATTGACTTCTACCTGTAAATTCAGAGCGCATTAACATTTTTTGTACGCAGAAAATCGAATTTAAATACGTTAATAAACAGATAATAAGTGTGACTTACACATTACATTTTGGCTTTTAAAGTAGTGAACTTGACATACTGATTATGTCGAAGTTTTTTGTATTATGTTTTGATGTTTATTATTTAATTTTATTATTGCTGAATACTGACTACAACGAAACAGTCTTTCAACAATGAGACCTCTCCACGCCCTAAACTACGACTTTATCAGTTATCAGGTAGGGCAACGTAACAGTTGCACGAATAGGCAAGTCTGTCCGAGTAAGTACCACGACCTCACAGAAGACCGGCGTGAAGTTCAAGTATTTGTACTTCTACGTTTCATTTGAGGTAGTCGGGGCCCACTTCACTAAAAGGTGGCAACGCATCTTTAACCATACGGATGTTGCAAATGTCAATGGGCGGCAGATATCACTGAACATCAGGTAAACCGCCAGCTCGTTTGCCACCTTCTCACACAAAATAAATCAAAACAAAACAAGCCGACACCCTGACGACTGAGATGATTTCGTCGACGCGACCAGAAGAGCAGAAGAGCAAGGGACCGGCCACGACGATTTCCCCGAAGCCGTGCGGTGGCCGCGCGTGCGCAACTAGTTGCCGGAATCCTGCAAACAACCGGTCTGGCGACGCTATGTAGCCGCGTTAGGTAAAACCAGGGTCGGATTTAGGGGAGGGCAACCGGGGCTACAGCCCCAAAGCCTCCACATAAGAGAGCCCCACAATAGACTTCGGAAATTTCAAATTTAGACTAGTAAATACTAGTAAACAACTTTTCCTTTCATATTTTTTCATAATTCTTGTTTCCGATCATACTTATATGTTCGTTTAATAATAAAAGAATCTATACTTGGATTCACAATCATTTATTTATTGTAAAACTCGACTGAAACAAATTGTTCGTTTTATTTGGAAAATAATTTGGGGCCAAGGGGCCTCCACTCCTTTGTCGCCCCGAGGCCTCCAAACCTCTAAATCCGACCCTGGGTAAAGCCAATATGGACCGGGCTCGCGGGCGATTTGGTAATGTTCCCGGTCGACGCCAGTTGCGTACGCGTTACGAATGCCGCCGTAATATCGTAAGTTGTGTAAGTGCTAGATTCTGTGCTGGAGTTTGTCTAGATGTTGGCAGTTTCCCCTCTAATTGCCTTCTATTTGTATTGAATTATAAAATCATATTCAAGTTTTACAATCTCGGGTTACACTGAAGTATTGAATAGAAATGTTAAGCAAACAGTGTGAATTCTACAAAACGTGTACGGCCGCTTACATCTTTACTATGAATTAGTAAGAAATTGCATTTACGTCAAATTAAATCAACCAGGAACAAATAATTTTACTGCAAACGTATGACGACTGTGCAAAATATTCGATCACAACAGTAATTTATTTTCTTTAGTATTTAATTTTTAAAACGGACGATCTTTACTTAACATTTTATGTGAAACCAAACGTTGGCCCGATGTAAAGTGATTACCGTCGCCCATGGACATTTACAAAACCTGAGGGTTTGTTTATCTTTTTTTTTTTACGATTTTGTTAATGTCCGGGGTCTTTTGAAAATTGGAGTTAACAAAAAAGGCCCAAGTTACGGACTGAACGAAATAGTACCTATAATACTTCCACTTCACGCTGGTCTTCTGTGAGGCCATGGTAAATGAAATAGTCTACCAATTCGTGCAACACGGTAAACTTTTATAGTCTAAAGGCCCATTTACACGGTGCCAGTTTCTTGCCTGTTGTATACAATTAAATTGAAGCAATAAATGAGTTGCATGGTCTAAACAAGAAATGGTCTAAACAATTATTGCGCGCAATTTATTGCATTCAATTATTGCTCTTGTATGTTCAAGAAAATGGCATCGTGTAAATGGGCCTTAACCCTTGTATTGAGGAAGGATAAATCTTTACGAAGTATTTGAATCATTTTTTGAAGCCAATTGTTTCCTACTTTTGAACATTGTTTAACTTTTTTAATACACATTTTTAAATTTTACGCCCTAACACAATATTGTAATGCGATTAAATGGGCTGGACACCCGGGCATATACGCATTGCCACTATGTTGGTGAACATTAAAAGTTATTGAAACTATTTTTATTATTTACGAAACAAACTGGCCGGTGCCGTATTGCTATCAAATCTGACTACAGTTATTAATTTCGAGGTGATTTGTAATAATTTGACCGTTACACTTCCAATGTGAATATAGCGTTAATAATTTGTTACAATATTATTTCAGTCCTAATATTTATCCACATACTCTAAACTATTTTAATTTCGAACAAGTTTAAATTCGATTATCGTTATATAGTACCGAAAATTTATTTGTAACGATTAGTACATTACACTTTGTAATCATCCTTTCGAGCAAGTCAACTTTAAATATTTAGTTTTCGCTCATTAATTATGTATAGTATTTAATACTACTTGTCGAGTAAAACTATTTTACGGATTTTATCGCTTTCAATTCACTTCAAATAAACATTGATCAATGTTTTGTAAACTTTATAGGTCCTATAGTCATAGTAAATCAGGCTACGTCTTGACTTGACTGACATGTTAACATTACTGTTTACTTGGGATTCTTATTTCGGACCGATCTCTGGAGAATGTGCTTCCAATAATAAAGATCTTTTAGTGTTAATGTGCTGTTAAGACTTAAACAACCATTACACTATAGAAATGAGGATGTTTCTTTACTTTGTCAGCCTTATGAGGAATCGGTGACCTGTTGCGATGATTCGAGTTGTGAAAAAGTAATTGTTAGATCTTATAATGCTGTCACGGGCGACGAGAACTTTTGCTTTCTTAATCTCTCATCGGGTTTTAATAAAATGGTCGCGTTTCCATTGTCGCGCGGCGGTACGTACGGGCGCACAAAGGAGACTTTCACCGACCGCATACTGTTAGCCGGTGGCGGGCACCGATGCATGCACGGTTATTACCGCCGAATAGTCTAATTGACGGCCACTTGCCACATGGCCGGCATATGGCGGCCTAACGCTTCTCAAGGAATAACGCCGCACTACCCTAACAATGTCTCGACAATAAAGCCGCGAATCCCCTGCGCTTCTAATTATACAGTCTTACACGTATCATTTATTGGAGTCTGGACTAAAGCTGTACGCTGATGCATCAAGGACCAAAGGAATCTTTCTTTACTTTAAATAAAGGAGTGCAAGCATTTTGATATTGTAATAGTCACATATAAAAAGACGTATTACTGCTATAAACAAGTCTCCAAAGATTGTTACATAAAACTATTTTACGGATTTTATTGCGCTTAACTGGTGTAATTAGGTTAATGGTTTGGTCTTTAAAATTTTACGCATTCAAAGCTCGTTAACTTTTTTTATATATCTGTTTGCTGTTTTCACTCTAACGAGCGAGTTTAAATTATTCTTTTAAGTCTGATGTTAAGTGATTATCACGGTCATGTCCATATTCAATACCCGTAGAGTCGCAGATCTGTTAGCAACCTTTAAGGGTTCCAGCTACCTCAGAATCAGTTGCCAGAATCGCAAAAGTATAATATTTCCACATTGCACCGGTCTTATATGTGACCGCGGTACATCTCCAGAGCAACCTGCCTTTGAGACTGTGTAGTCATTAACAGTATTTTTAGTAGAGTTATTTTTACCAGATGGTGTTTGTTATTTCAACGCCGTGGATCCAACAGAGCTCAGTCGAGCTCTTAATCCGTGGTAATGTCATTTTATAATAAAACAATACGGTATGATTATTTAAATAGCAAAAGTTTTCATTCACGCCAAATATCTGAAGATGTCCACGAACCCGGAATACTAGTGTGAAGTGTAGACCGACTCTTGCCTGACGTGAAGAAGCGTCTCATAAGTTTCACATGGATATATTTACTCGATGAATGCCGAATACTTTCTATACGCAAGAACATCTTATGTGTGCACTGGTTCTGTGAACACTATAAGCAAAGAGAACTTGCTTATGATGAATGCAAAGACGTTCATTGTGATCTTGGCTTGTATAGACTTGATTTTTACCTTATCTAGATATGGCTATGTACAACTATGTCTCTCGCTTGCATTGCAGGATTATAGGCAAGAAATTTTCTTTTCATCGCTAGTTCGAGATCAAACCTATCAATAATACTATTAAACTATCTAGACTACTACCCCCCACTTATAGATGGATTGATATGACTTCAGGTATTAAATCCAGCAGATAAATAAACACCTATCGCTTTTGCCTTGATGACTCGGTGATGAAAAGGGCATTTTAGGCAATTGCCACGAGAAGCTAGCGCCTCTCGATTGCCACAGGGCGGCGGGGGCCCGCCCGGGGACGTTTCAATGGACACGACAATGATGGATCGCGGCCCTTCTCCTCCGCCGCACCATTGTCTTGTCTCGTCGTATAGAAGCGGGACGTCGCGCCCAAGTCACGGAACGCGGCCGCTTTTAAAGTAGCTGTATATAATGTAATATATCCGAGACTGGCACGTCCTCTAGCTCTGATGTATTTTGTGAGTATCAGTTCCGTGAGAGACGACTACGTTTTTTTGGGTTAGTGGTCATTACTAACAGGTGTGTTTGAAAATCCCCCTATATCCCCCCCCCCCCCCTCCTCCTCCCATATCTACCCAAAAATGTCTTCAAATAAGGTGAAATAACTTTTAGAAATTTTGCCCCCTGTTAAATGATATTTTTTGTGTTTGTATAAATATATGATTGTTTGTACTTAAAAGGGACACCAGTTCACTATTCCAAGAACATGATATGAGCCAGCGAATGAGTGCGGTATTGAAAACATCATCGTTCACCTATGTTTTCAAACTGTAACTCGTTCACACGAATGCAAGACGATTTGCGGCGAAATAGATGACATGGCGATCGTTGACAATCCGCGGCAGTTTGTTACTTGGGCCACGCGAGCGATGGCGGTAATAAGTCGGCCGGCAATAGCGTGCAACGTCGCTAGTCGCCGATTGTCTGATAACGCGACAGCGGCGCAGTGAAAGCGCACGCACGCTCCGTTTCCCGCGCGGCGTTCCGATACCGCGCCGAATGCGTTCGCAACTGGGTAGCAACTGAGGCAACGCCTCGGTTCATCAGCAACTTGCTTACCACTAACCGGCAACTGCGATACGTAACGTACTCACGCCGGTGGCCGGCCATTGATTTCTTTTCATAGTTGCCAATTATCGTGTGGCAGTGTATTTCTTTAATTTGTAGATTAGCTACCAAATGAAAAATTTTGCGAGTTAGAGGGTCCAATAGCAATCAGATGGTTGGATTAGGAACGCATACTCGGCATAGAGAGAAACATTGACTGTTATAAATATTATGGTCTAAAAGCGATACTAAATCGAGAGTAGACGTAATAAAAGTTTATCTTTTGAGGTTTTTAAATTACAATACATAGGCCAAAATTAAAATGTTAAACAGTTTCAATCTTGAAATTTAAACACCTTTGGTGTATAAACATATTCAATGACTGAATATAGCAAAAGCTTGTTGTATTTTCAGCTTTTAATTTATTTAATTACGAAATTAATATGCCATGTGTAATATTAACTTGCGCGTGACCCACTTTAAGTTCAGCGCTAGAAGGTCTTCGCATAACTTCTATATGGTCAGTGAGTTAAAGGCAAGTTTATAATTTAAATAAAATCACATATGTCCAATGCTAAAAACCTGTACAGAGTCAGGTACTTCACAGTCCAAGATTTTCTCCACTGCCTTTAATTAATAGAATTTTGTACGAAATATATTTCGTAGTATTAATAGTTTATCGGGTTTTACTTTTATGTTCTATACATAACTTTGGTTTGATACAGAAACCTAAGCTTCCCGATGTTGTAAAGGATATTCATCATCATTTCAACCTGTTTGAGTGTGGACTCAAGCAGTGGAGCTGAAGATAGGCCTCCCCCATAGACTGCCACATAGCACGATCCTGAGCCACCTGCATCTATCAACTTTCCGCCAACTTGCACAGGTCGTCACTCCATCAGATGGGGGGTCGTCCTACACTACGATGGCCAGTACGAGGCTGCCATTCAAGAACCATACATCCCCGTCGGTTATCGGTTTTACGAGCTATATGGCCGGCCCATCACCACTTCACCATCACCACTTCACCTTGCTAATTTGAGCTATGTCGGGCACCTTTGTACTGCTGCAGATGTCTACGTTGCGAAAGTGAACACTACACGCTTTAAAATTGAAATTAGATCTTATATTGTATTTCTATCGACGATGGGCGAGGCCCCAGAACGCATAACAGAAAATGTTTGCCAACTACTTGGTGTAAACCTTATCACTGAGCTGAGATATTCCCATGAAAACCTACTAAGAGTTCATAGACCACCTGTTAATATTAATATCGTCGGAATAAATGAAGACGATGCAATGCGTTAAACTTGAAACTGAGTAATATAGACAATCTTATTTTAACGCCACAGCCGAACGCAATAAAACAATAAACAATTAACCGATAGAATGGTCTAGAAACAGTCAACGATGGCTCGCAACTGTCTTCATCTGAAGATTTAAATTTTAGTTTTTTTTTATAATTCTTACATTTTGTGTCAACGACATGCAATTCTATGAAGTGGAAAAAACAACACACGAAGTTATTTCCGCATTCGATATAAAATACTCATGAAATAAAAATGCTTATTAGTTATATATATATATATATATATAGGTAGTTAACATATACATTTGTAAGTATTCACCAAGAACAAAAATACATAAAATAAAAAATACAAGAAAAAAATCTACCTTATTTCTATTTTTATCAAAATTTTATTCCATTATTCTTTAGTACCACCATTTTATAAAATAAACTTCTCGATATTTCTCAGTTACTACGAATAAATTACATACGTATTGCCAACAGTCTTTGTTTCCACAAAAGCATGTCAACAATGTAACCAGTGGGTTCATACAAAATACTTGCTATGTTTTATTAACGAGAAATGTTATTAAACGTGCAACGTTATCGATACGTTGACACGTCAAAAACGTCACAGTCACCGCAAACGTCTGAATTCGTAACGGGGCGTACGGGGCCCGTACGGGAAACATCCGATACGGATATACAGAAATCCGAAGCGTTGCGGTCGACCCGAGCATCGGTTTCTCACACTCGATATAACGTCGAACGGTGACACGCGATAACAGTGAGTTACAGTAACATTACTTGACGATTCAAGAAATGGATACAAATTCAAGTATCTTTTTTCAATATAAAAGCTTTTTGATTTTCGAAATTCTACTTTTATCGGTCAATCAACAATATTAGCACACAATCGATTCTTTACAATTTTTTTGAATTTAGGAATTGACACATTTTAAAGCCGAGTTAGATTCCAATGAGATTATAAATTTTAAGTGCTGACTTGTCGTGCTCACTTATAGAGGGAAACATCGTGTTGAACCTGTATATTTTCGAAATGATAACTAATAAAAATATTTCGAAGATAAGTGTAGTCCGCCAATCCGTGGTGGGGCCGCGTGTTGAACTAAGCCCTGATACCCTCTGAACAGAGGAGGCCTTTGCCCAGCAGTAGAACATGTACAGGCTGTTACCTTACTTTAAATTTTCAACGTATTCTGGGGCTGTAAAAACGTACACAATGTCCAGCTGTTCTGCTCTGGCGATTCCAGCCCACTCCCTTATGTTCCCCAGCCATGATTTTTTACGCCTTCCAACGAGTCTTTCGCCTTCGATTTTGCCCGTCATTATGACGTATGTTAGTTAGCTTTACTTTGTTTTATCGAGCTAAGAAGGTAGAAATATAAATACTTTTACGAAACCACCTTAGTTTCACTTTGCACAACAATAACACTGGTATAATTACTTATTTTATCACTTTAATATCACTAATGAAACACCACTCTAACGACTTAATCTGTGATACCGATTGGGCAGCACTATCGCGTATACTTCTTGTTGACAGCCGAAGAAGGAGACCATGAAATGTTTCGTGCAGCTTCATTTATACCCCATAGAATGACACTTCTTTTAGTGTTGCCAACGCGTATATGTTATGAATTGCTGTAGCTCATACCGGATTGATAGACTGGCGATGGATAGATGGAAGCTGATGGCTAACCTCCAGTAATGGAGAGGCACTCAAAGAAGAAGAATACAAAGTACCACAAACGAATTACTTTTTCAACGCATTCTAGTTGCGGATAGAATTAGTTTATGTTTGATCCTGTTAATTGTATTATACATCGATATAGAATTGTAAATTAATAGAAAGACTTAAACCTAATAAAAAAGGGCAATTGAAGAAAACAATAAATTTTTGATACATGACTTGTATAACCAATATTCCTATCCGTAGTAAAAAAAAGTATAAATGTATGCAAACGCCAAATATGCGATTTTACATCGGTTAATACACAGTATTTAAGAAAATATTAGAAACGCATTGGCGCTGTCCAAAAACTTCAATTTTGGTTACAACAGCAAGAGCCAATACATCTCTGTCGTGTCGTGAGAGCTTGTTATAGTGCCGTAAAAACACTCACAAATCGTCATTGAGGGATAAATCGATGCTGGATTAGTTGGCAGCGCCAGAGATTGATCTAAAGGACGGCCGTCGCCATTGACGTTATAGAGGCGATTGCGGCCGCCATTGTTTTCCCGCAAACTAATAAACGGCCCACAGCCCACGAGCGCGCCACAAAACGTCGGATGTCACGTGAAAAACCCAATGGCCATGAATCACGCGCCACACTCCATTGAACCCATAAGAGTGCGCCGAGTGTTCCACTGCTGCAGATAAGCGAGGGTGGATTTATGAAGCCGGCTCTTCGCCGCGAGGTTTTCAATTTCCGCCCCCCCCCCCCCCCCCTCTCCTCCCCCGTGCTCCCCCTCCTCCGTCGCCCTCCCCCCGGCTTTCCGACGGCTGGCCCTCAGCCGCGCGTAATTTCATTAAAAACACGCCGAGCGAACGCTAGCGCCGGGACGGAATTTTTATCTCCTCGCGCATTCCGAACGGGCCCGCGATATTGAAAGGGGTCTCGACTAGTGAGTCGAATTATCGAGCCGCGGCTCAAAGTCTTCCTATTGATGCAACTTTCAATTAAAATAATGCAGCGACATCGTAAAGTATGAAAACGTCGAGTTAACTTTGTTCTTATTGTTTATGGGAACTTGTAACATTAAGTTACGTTAATTATTAAGTTAAAAACCTTATTAAACATTAATGCATACATTCCTACGAACATTCCTACAACGATTACTATGATTACTTATGTAAAATTCTTCATTCTTTTTCTTTTTCGATGTGTCAACGTATCGATAGCGTTGCACGTTTCATAACATATCTAGTTATTAAAACATAACAAATACGTCATAATTATGCACCTACTGGTTACATTATCGTTATGTTTTTGTGGAAACAAAGACAATTGACAATATTGTAGAGTGTTATTTTAGGAAAAAGTGTTTAACTTTCTAAAAACGATGGAATGGAATATGGAATGGAATAAATGGATCTCTCTATGGGTTAATTGTTTATTATTTTAATGCATTCGCAGCAGTATTGAATTATAAAATAACACATAGTCTATGACGCATCAACGCAACACATCAACAAAACATTCAAACAAAAAAAAATATTAGGACGGAAGGTAAAAGTAAAATTTAAGGAAAAATAAGGAGGACTTAGTTGCAAAAATACCTAAAAGTGGTTAAATTTTTTTCAAGGGACTCTACCCCAGGAAAAATAACAAGCAAAGTAATGCTTCCGGAACTTCGGCATAAAGAAACAGTACTCTGCTGTTAAAGTCCACTCACAATAAACAACATTGTTAATAGTGTAATCATAAACTGAATTAACTATTATTGTCATACATAAGAAAGGGAAAACCGTAAAACTAATTAATTACCGATTAACAGCCTACATTCACAAATCTATGAGCTGATCCCACTAATGTATTGCACCTAAGATTTTCACACCAGCTGTGCTGGTGCCAGCTTGTCGAAGACGTCGGTTACTACATTGGATTTTCAACTATGGATAGACATCAAAAGGTAAACCAGCTGGAGACGAGCTGAGAGCTTAGCCAGCCATTGTAAACTACCAGCATCGGTTGCACGGCACCTTCACCTAATGCTTGCAGATAACTTTACTTTCGAAATATTATTTGTTGAACGACGAATATAAGCAAAATGCAAATGATGTACTTATGATTCTTAATCTCAATCTTCAGCATATAGCTCCAAACGCTGAAGTTCGCCGATCGTATGAAGATAGTCTGGACAGCATTAATGACATCTACATCATCAGTATATCCCAAAATGTCACAATGGAGACACTCCTTTAAATCGCTACAGCCCAGCACTGTATCTGGGTTCCTGTTAGTCTTAAAGCATGTGGCTGTCACCAAGATCAGAGTTTCATGTAGGGGTCAAGCCACGTCATAGACTATTTGCAACACTGCAATATTGCGAACCACAGAAGTGGAGCTGGACAGCGCACTTTAGCTAGGTGCAAAGATGACTGATAGACACAGTGAAGGAGGCAACTGATATGATACTTAGATCAAGCGGCAGTGGTTTGGATCTACAATACTATTTAAGCGCGAGTGGAGGCTGGTGATGTTGTACCAGAGACTAATGATATAGCAAGAGATAGAGAGAACCATCAAATTAAAATTGGTAATTGGATTTGCAGAGATTTGCAGAGATTGCAGAGAGTACATTCATACATTCTACTTATCTCACTGAGATTGGATACCTAGTTCAATTGCCAAATTCCATGTGAGGAGAAATTATCACTATCTATAATTATTCAATGAGGACAAAATTGTAGGTAAAGTATTAGTATAAAGTTAGCTATAATTTTACAGAAGTTACAGATTTCACCTACACGTACAGATAGAACCTGTAGACTTGACATGTCTAAGTAAAATTTCAAATTACTTTTAAATTATTGTGTTTAACGCTAACAATTTATCCAATCTTAATGTTATTTGTACTCATAACATAAAAAAATTCTTCATTTTTATTAACTTATAATAGACAATGTAATCATTTATGTACACTACTTGATTTAACCAAAAAATATCCAAACGGCTTGTGGTTCTAGGTGTACATATATAGAGGTAACGGGCCACAGGTTGTCGACCGCAGTTGAATGAAGATTGGACGCTTTTTGTGTCTTTATTTTGCATTTTTCTTTAAAAATAGGAAGATACTTGTAGAGTATATACATTTGAAGTCTAAATTTTGTGAGGCGGTAGTCAATACGTCCGTATTATTAACCGATTGAAAATTTATTAATAAATAATTGATCGGACTCTTATTTAAATTGTGCCTACCTTTTTTCGACAACATTTCTTATTCATTTCTCTTAGACTCTTATAAGTCATTTTGTTACTCAACACTATTTGAAACTTGCAATTAAACAAAAAACACTTATTTAATAGTATCTTATACCGGATATTTATGTGATTTATCGATTTCCTTAGGACAATTTTACCAAAAATTTTTAATTATTGGATTCACGTTTTTTTCTGTATCAAACACAACATTGGGTGTGGCAGAAAGCTTATATGGGTGGCCATTGTAATAAAAAAGAATCAATAAAGTGACATTTACGATGTGTCTACTTGTGTCTCGTTCAATACAGATCTTTCTAGATATTTCCAGTCTAGCGCCTCCGGAACATTGTATCTCCACCGATTGTAACTTTTATTTTCTTTCTTACTTATATAAATCATGACACACGGTTAAATAGTGTTTCTAGTCTTTCTTTAAAAGTGCAAAATTTCAAACACCCAAAACGGAAGAAAATTCAGCGACTTTAGTAGCGGTAAGCTTGTTTTCACTTTAAAAATATTTCATCCATCACAAGTCAAGTTCTCATAATTTTTCTTTTCGTCTGATGAGTGAGGTAACCGTAAACACCGACTTTATTAAGCCACACGTCAACCAACATCTCTGGTGTTGTGTGTGCGTGGCTATGGGCACTGGTTCCTATTTGCAAGCAGATGGATCGATTGTAATTATTGTACAATTACAATCAAAATCGTATTTTAAGTGTACACCGTATCTTAAGTGATAACCCTCGCCCACAACACGTGACGGGTTGCAAATGCGGTGTTAACCTTTAAAAAGGTGGGCCCCGGTTACCTCACACACCAGACGAAACGCGACGGTATAATAGTCCCACTTCACGCCGATCTTCTGTGAGGCCGTGGTACTAGACTGTGGTACCAGACGACCGGCAGCAACAGCAGTTGCTGCTGCCTGGCCCTACCGTAATTCCAAGTATCTTCACTACATAGTATAAAACAAAGTCGTCCCGCTATCTGTCTGTATCATGCTTAGATCTTTAACACTACGCAGCGGATCTTGATGCGGTTTTTTTTTACTAGATAGAGTGATTCAAGAGGAAGATTTATAAAGGCACCCGTGCGAACCCGGGGCGGGTAGCGGGTAGCGTCTTCTATAATACCAACATCAGTTGATGGTGTCGGCGGAATCCGTAATAAAATATTTACGTGACGCTATTTATTATTCTCACTCTTGCAGAATCATAGGTATACTTATACTATTATAGTTTAATCTCTGTTGAAATTCTATTCGGACATCGACGTCGACAATGGACAGTGTGGATACAATCATTAAAGCTATCTATTTATTTATTTATGCTTTATTGCAAAACCTTAAAAAAAGGATTACAAAAGGCGGACTCAATGCCATTTGGGCATTCTCTCCCAGTCAACTAGTACTAAGCTACTGGTATATAGAGAAAAACGTATTGAAAAAAATCTTTTTAGTTTCATAATGTATTTACAGCAATACGTTTAAAAAAAATGCAAGCAGAACACATCGCGACAAAGGACGCGGCACTTCAAACGGAGTATTGTTGATAATATCACAATCCCGCGAGAAATTAATGATACTCCGAGTGTTGATACCTAATGCTACGAAATCGATACACATTTCAGTTTAGCATAACATCAAAGTGAGAAAGGGTCCAACCATTTCCATAAGGCATCCCGAGAAGCCTCCACTGTCGAACATCACCCGTCGAATGTCCAACTCGTTCCTTTGTAAGGCGCCCCACAAGCCGCGCGGTAACGTTCGCAAATTTGCACAGGCCTCGCAAAAAGCGAACCGTTCGCGGAATGCCTATTGTCAACGCGACGCGCAATTTTGTACGAACTCGCATCCCCCACATAAGACAAATGAATGGATTGTATGATTGCCAATGGAAAGTATGCGTTAGGATCAAAAGTTAAAGCTCATTTTCACTTGCATCCACGGGCCGGATGAATGCGATACCCTCGGCAATTTCGCCCCGGGCATCGGTCGTCGGTCTCGCCTCCGCAAGCGCTGCGGAGCTGTGAAGCGCGCCGCCGTCTAACCACGCAAAGTTGTGCCAGCGCGGCGCGCTGGACTCTCTCTCGGTTGGAAAGGTGCTCGTTAGATCGACAGGGTGCTTTTCAGCTCCTTTGTTGAACGAACCTTTTCCTTCGTCCTCGAAATTGAAATCCCCGAGAATTAGGTATTTAAATGCATCGGTCCGCTTTTTGTCTGTTACTCCGGCGAGCACATAGCGGTTTTTTGCCGGCGACCGCTCTCGGTGCTCCATAAAGAATCGTAAAGTTTTTTTTTTCTTCCATTTAAAGGCGTACCATTATTTATGATTTGTTGGCGGCTAATTATAGATGATGGAGCATTGTTTTGTCTTCTTTCTTGTTACGTTTACAGTTTTTGTTGATGATCGTTCGTTTATCTTGCGTCGTTACGATGTTTCAGTGCTTTGTGGTTATTTAATATGCTTCCGTACAACTAACTGCTTTTATAAATGGCACATGCCTTAATAAATTCTTCATATTGTTTATACATTTTTAATATCGTTAACTAATTAAGTAAAAGTAAAATAATATATGTAATACAACGATTTTTTGTAGCGCGATAAAATAACACCTATTTCCTGCTCTGCCGTTGTGGTTTTCCCAGATGACACTTAGGTACATTGTGACCAGCATTAGAATTCGAAGTTATTCACTGACTCAATAAATTGACTCACTTCAGTGGTAGCCAGGAAACCATTAGAATTACGTCCATTGTCGCCAAATAAGTCTATAACTTGTCAGCCTTGAACATGTTTATAAAACATTTTAATGGTAACTAGCGACCCGCCCGAGCTTCGCACGGGTGCAATGTATTATACATATAAACCTTCCTCTTGAATCACTCTATCTAATAAAAAAACCGCATCAAGATGCGTTTCGTAGTTTTAAAGATCTAAGCATACATACGGACAGACAGACAGCGGGACGACTTTGTTTTATACTATGTAATGATATTTCTACCCTGTATTACCCATAAATATTATAATACTTTTGTTCAATTGCCTTCAACCACAGCCTTGGGGCCTTTACAGATCAAAAGACTGCTATTCTCCGTATTACCGATACGAAATGTCTCAATAACGCACCGTTTTTTTATTGTTCTTTCGTATTGAGGAGGCGGCCGGTTAAGAGACCGCAAACGGGATACCGGCAGGCGCGGATCTTGCTGAATCTCGGAGAAAATCATCTTAGTTTGTTGAAGACAGAATTAGGAGATATAGTACAAAAAGTTTCCTACGATAATAGGGTCTAGGGTCTTAAATATTAAAGTCCTTTTCATTTTATATTTTGTTCAAGTGCAGAACCATGATTTTCGATGGGATCATGACCATTTCCTCAAATCTGATGGTAAGTCATCACTAATGACAACCGCAGCACCAGTGCTGTTCCCAGCGCGTCCAACGCGGTGATATTTTATTTTTCTTATTTACATTAGCCACTAGACAACAAAAGCATAAATATGTATTTATGCCGGTCATAATAAAGAGTATATGACTTCAGTAGAGGCAGCCGTTATTTGCCGACCGAGAAAATACTGCGGTACCCATAATACTCTACGTATCACAACAGCCTAACGCACCGTAAACTCACTTAAAGGTTCCTCTAACTACCCTTGATGAGGTTTGGGGCTCCTGAAATGCTCTTGAGAATCAAAGCCACCCACGCACAGATATTAGCTACCGGGGATAGGTCCGCAGGAACTACAGCCTTTCTACAGACTGACCGATGAATGATGTGTTTGATATAGACTAAAAGCAAAAACGTCATCAAACAAAGAAAAAGACAGCGAGGCAAGCAAGAAAGGTTTTTATAAGTTTCCACAGGAATTATATAATTATAATTACCTTGTACCACGTTAAATTATAAAATCGTTATCTTCCTTTGGTGCTCAGAGCCTCACGACACCATCACGAAGTTCCGAAGAGATACAGCAGTGTCGGTCATCCTTTGATTAGCGCTGCCTTTTTTTAATGTGAAAGTTGTTAAGCGAGCAGGCGGTTCACCTGATGTTAAGTGAATACCGCCGCCCATGGACATCTGCTGCACCTGAGGGTTTGCAGATGCGTTGACATTCTTTTTGAAAATTGGGCTCCGGCAACCTCACTCACCGGACGAAACGCGAAAGCATTATACTTTCACTTCACACCGGTCTTCTGTGAAGTCGTGGTTCTTACCCGGACGAGCCTGTTCATTCCCACAACAGCCGAGTCTGCGGCGTGGCCTATGAAAACATACTTTGAAATCGGGTGTTTTTGCTTTGCTAGTAGGCAAGGTCAAATAACGGGGTGGTCTTTCAACAATGTTGACGATGGGATATTCATGCCTTTAATATATAAAACAGAACGTTTAAATCTAGAAACTTTGCGCATTAGGTATATTCGACGAACAGAAAATATGAAAGTGCAACAGTTTTTAAATGATTTTTAATTAAATACCACCGCAACCTTTGATTATCTATACTTATATTATAAATGCTAAAGTAATTCTGTTTGTCTGTCTCGCTTTCACTCCAAAACTACCGAACCGATTTAAATTTGGTACACAGATAGTCTAGAGCTAAAGTCTAAAGATCATAGTCTATTTTTTAATTGGGAAAAAGTATTGTATATTATATATTTTTAAAGAAAGATATTTATTTAAGGGCTTCGAAGCGAGCGTAGCCGCCGGAGAAAAGCTAGTGATCTATATGTATAAAAATCGATGTACGTGCGTTCCCCATGGCCTCCAAAACGGCTGGACCGATTTTGATAAAATTTTCAAGTAATCTTCAGATAAGCCCAACGGGTGATCCTCTGAAGTTTGCTAGCGATCGGAACAAAAGATCCTTTTTTTTATAATTAATGCTGCCGGGGCAGAACTGGGGTGGGTCGCTAGTACCAAATAATTTTACAAAACTCATTCAAGTAGATTCTTTAATGATCATTGAAATTACTGAAATCAGCCATCATTCCTTCATATTCGAGTTTAAAAAGGTAAAAAAATATTTTATCATCCACAAAAACAACAAAAATGTTTCACCTAATTAAGCATCAAGCTTCTTCTATCGTTTAGGCATTTTTTTATTATATTCAGATTATCTTCTTGTGATATAATCACATCTCCCATTAAATCACATGTATGCTAAAAGTGGCAGTATCTCAGATATCTAAAGATATGAGATGGAGAAAAATATCCCATAGTTATCAGACACATCGTGCAATTTGTATAACGTAAAATCTGCGAGGCAAGCATCCACGTAGAAAAAGAAGGGAAAATTTTCCAAACCTCTCTCGTCCTAACAAAAACTAGACAAGGGTCAACAACCAGGTTTTTAGATCATTAAGAGATAAATGGCTTCATTGAGTGTCATTCAAAACTGTAAGGTTTTGTATTGGTATATTCTTTTAGTCTAACCTTACAGTGATTATTTTATTTTTATTGTCTACGATGACATTCGCAACGCTACAAAGCCATCGGCTTCGGTACCGGGATCCATAGCTTGAGCCACGTGGTGCAAGTATTTGTGTGACCTACAGAAAATTGTACTGCTACCAAATGTTTGGTCCAAATGAGCGTTGACGTCAGACGACCGGTCCAATACCTAGCCAATAGCGCTAACAACATATTGTGCCGACCCCATTAAGGTGGGATAAGGACAAGAGAAAAAAGGAAGAAGATTGCTCATTCGATTGATCCTAAAGAGTTCTCTTTGGCGCCGCGTAGACTTGTTCATTCGTCCACAAAGACCGTTCTCGCGAAAGCAACAGATTCTTATCGAAGAGATTAATTGCCGTTTAAACATTCTCAGACACGTCTTCACTGGTCCCAAAATGATCGACCGTCCCGCTGCCTCATTGAGCGATAGCACGTTCGGTCTGTGATAGGAGTTTTAATACATTTTCCCCGATAAATATTCGTAAATCCCGTAAAAAATCTTTTTACACAGCGGGCTTATTAGCCTCGGATATTGCTCGTAGCTGAGACAGCCAAGAACCGGTTTCCAGTTTAACGCTAGTGCGCTAACAGCGAGGACAAACAGAACGCTTCTATGCGGTATCGGCACGGGGCCGTGAGTCGTGTAGAACACGCATCGTACGAGATACAGGAACGGTATATCACCTAAACCACTTAACTAGAGTCTTCGTGTTACAAGGTAATCCTTAACCGAAATAACCGATTCACGAAAGAGAATATTTTAATTTTTAACCCCATTAACTCTTCGTGTATGCCATTAACTGCCATAAGATAAAATTGGCAGGATAATACGCGTGTCTGTATATACCTATTCAGGTCATAAGTTCTAACACATTCTCTATGAAATGATAGACACGAGTTTGTCTTATAGTATGTTTACTGTTAAAAGAAACACTTAAGCGTGTCAATAACCTAAAGTAACTTACTATAATTTTGAACAAAAAAAAACCGACTTCAAACAGGAAACTAAAAGCATTGTCAACGCCTATAACATTTGAGGATTGCCCTCGATTTCTCAGGGATGCCATCATCAGATCTGGGTTTCCTTATCATAGTACCGCCCTTGGGGTATCTCCTTTCCAACAAAAAAAGAATCATCAAAATCGGTTCATAAATGACGAAGTTATCCCCGAGCACACATAAAAAAAATATATATATATACATATACGGTCGAATTGAGAAACTTCCTCCTTTCTTAAAGTCGGTTAAAACATAGCATCTTAAGCTATCTTAGCTTATTAGAAATGACCCCCTTGGTTTTCAATGCAAGCTTTCAATCTGCGCCGCCAATCGTCTCTAGCACCGCGAACGTGTTCCATATTAATATCGGTATTTCTCAGAAGCATATCATATTAATATGCTTTGTTCAAGGATGCCTGGAGTGTTTCTCCAGGTGTTACCATATATCATAATCCAACAGATTTAAGTCAGGAATGGAGGAGGGCCAGTCTTCGTGTCGGAATTAAGTCAATTTCACACGCCGTGAGATTTTCGCTCTATGTGCTGGCACAAAAACTTGCTGGAACACCCAGTGTCTGCTATTAAACATGTGACTGTATTTTGTTATACGTTAGCGCATTCGCTTTTACGCCCTCCTCACAAAAATATGCCTCAGTTAAGTCTGAATATGAGATTCCCAGTCAAACCATAATTGACGATGGATAATGGCCTCGCTGGACACGCAGAATGCGGTTGTTCGCTTCATCACTATATTAACTTAACATTTTTCTCCCAAAAAAAGATTTCGTGGTGCTTTTTTCCAGAGTACCGCTTCATCAAA